GGTGACCTACACCTATTTTTAAAGATAATATACCTTCCCTAAGAGCATTTTATGTGCATTAATTCATTTATTTCAGTATCTCCTGAGATTTTCATTTATAATGAAACAATTTCTCAAAGTCCAAAATCCTGTTGGTTATGAAGTTGGCACTGAAATCTGGTACTATTAACTAAAGTTTAATATTCTTTGTTATGTTGTATGTCCATTAAAGGAAAGAATTTAAATTGTGTTTTAAACATTTTATAGATTTATTTATTTGAGAGAGAGCCTGGGGCAGGGTCGGGGGAGGGACAAGCAGACTCTATGCTGAGTGTGGAGCCCGATGTGAGGCTTGATCTCATCTCCCTGAGATCATGACCTGAGCTGAAACTGAGTCGGCAGATGTTTAACCAACTGAGCCACCCAGGCACCCCGGTATTTTATACATTTTAAATGAATTATTTGGTTGAAAGGTATGGCTCTATAATAACTAGTTATTTACATAGTTCCAGAGCATAGAAAATATGAAAATATTTCCTACAAGTCTGCAGGTTCTGGCATTATCCTGATACCAAAACTCCTAGAGGAAAGCACTGAACAAAAAACTACAGGTTGACTTCATTCTGAAATTAGAAACTCTAAATAGATATTAGCAAGTCAAATCCAACAATGTATTTTTTAAATGCCACATTATGACCTTAGTAGGGCTTATTTCAAAAAAGCAAGCATGATTCAGCCTCAGAAAATGTCTTCCTGTTGTAACCTGCATTAAGGAAGTAATTAATAAAACCACATAGTCCTATCACTAGATGGCTCAAATGGCATTTAATGAAATCCACTTTGAAAACTAAACAAACTATTAGCAAATCAGAAATAGAAAGGGAACTTCTTTGTTTGGTAATGATGGCATCTACTAAAAACGTCCCACAAACTATATTTAATGGTGCAACATCAGAACATCCTCATTGAAGATGAGAATAAAGCAGGATGCGAGCGGTGCTTGCTAATAGAATCTTAACTGGTGGTTCTCACCAATTAGAGAAGTTTCTTGTAGAGGAAGAGACAACACTATCATTATTTGCAAATGATTTGAATATCTCCCCAGAAACTCCAAGAGAAAAAGCTTTAAAAAAATCATGAGGGTTCATAAGTATAATGTGACATATGCAAAATCAACTTGCAAAAATCCAGAGTTTTCCGACAACACCAGCAGCATTCACTCAGAATAAAATGGAGGAACAAATCCCATGGACAGTTGCCACAGGTATCTTAAAACACTTAGGAATACAGCTATCAAGAAAGGTGTCCTGAAAAACTAGAAAAACACGTTGTATCTCTGTGGCAACAAAGCAGTAGCTATACATGGTGCTGATTTTAATTTGGCAACAGATACACTCCATTTAATTTGGCAAAGACTTGTGCTTTTGTTCTCCATTGCTTCCTCTGGAAGCAGATAATGCTTGCTGACATTATCTCCTCATTTTACCAGTGAGGAAACTGAGACTTTAGGTAGTTTTTGTGATCTAGAGTGTCCATGCATAATTCACAGGACACAAGCCTAGATGGTACTTGACCTCCAATTCTTGGCTTCATGGTTGTTTCGTTCTAGCCTGTTTTCTGTATTCTCTTCAGCCCAGCATATGTGTATTTCCTCAAAAAATTACGCTGTGAATCAAGTATTAAATTGAAGATAATTCTTCTTTCTCTATTATGTTGTGGATATTATAATTTATAATCATAAAAACTATTAGGTCGTTTTTATTCTAAATTATTTTGGTGAAGGAGCACCTGGGTGACTCAGTGGTTAAGTGTCCAACTCTTGATTTTGGTTTAGGTCATAATCTCAGGGTCATGAGGTCCAGCCCTGCATTGGGCTCCATGCTCCCTGGGAAGTCTGCTAGAGATTCTCCCTCTCCCTCTGCAAACCACTCCCCTGGCCCCCATTCCTGCTTGCCCTCTGCGTGGGCTTTCTCTCTCTCTTTCCTCTCTCTCTCTAAAAAAAAAAAAAAAGTAATAAAAAGTAAATTATTTGGTGAAAAAGAAGGAGAAATCAGTTTTCACCGGTTTGACGGCTATTCATTGTAATTCTTTAATGAGTAATCAGGCTAGAAGTAGAATTAATTTTGTAGTTACACTTATTACTCTTGGGATAATATCGTTAAGCTCTGTAATGGTCTCCATACCTTCTGGTTCTGTCACAGTGCTTATAACATAAGGAACAGTCATACTTTTCTTCACAGTTTAACTTTGAAAGTAACACCCTGTACTCATCTTCTAAGGCCATGGAACAAATTATCACAGACTTGGTGGCTTAAAACAGCCACCAACAACTCTGGAAGTCAAAAGTCCAGAATCCGTTTCACAGGCTGAAGTCAAAGTGATTGGGGGTGGCCCTCCCTCTGGAGGCTCGGAGGACGGTCCATTTCTTGCCTCTTGTGAGCTCTGGGGGTTCCTGGGCTTGTGGTTGTGTCTGCAGTCTGCCTGTGCGACCCCGTTGCCTCCCCCCTGCGTGCATCAGCTCTCTCTGCCCGCCTCTTATCAGGACACTTGTGATTGCATTTAGGGTCTACCCCGATAATCCAGGATAATCTCCCCATCTCAAAGCCCTTAATTTAATCATATCTGTATATGCTCTGCCAGAAGGACACATACTGTGGAGGCAGTCAGAGCAGAGTGAATACTACCCCATTGCTAGCTTGTTGCCCTTGACCAAGCCACTTCACCTCTTTGAACTTTGGTTTCTCCATCTGAAAATGGAGCTAATACGTGCCAATCTCAGATTTTTTTTTTTTTTTTTGAAAGGGCTAAGAGAAACAGTGTTGATTCAAATATTGCTTGGTTTGGTTTTTTTTCTAAACTTGCTTTTAAAGCCTTGTTGTGATTTGTCTTTGTAGCTCAAGCCTACTGTCCCAGGCACTTAGTAGTTGCCCATTAATTAGCCTTCACAAGTAGTTTTTGGTCTTCTGAAGGGCAGTGTGGCATTGCATTGTCATGCAGGGTACCCGCAGTTGGACACAGCTTGGTGGCGATGGCTCATCCAGAAATATTCTCTGTGTGGTAGTTGAGTGGCAGGAACTTAGCAAACTGAGGATAGGGTGCAAAGCAGAATCCGTAGCATGGCGGTTTCGTGCAGATATGCTAAACTGAGTGCATGTAAGAAGCAGGGAAAAATCGGTTGATCCAGAAAGAGAAAAGTTAGAGGCGGGCGTGATGAGTGTCCAGCTAGCTTACTCTACAACACACCGGTGCACACGCACACACACACTGCATACAAGATTGATTTTTAAATTCAAAAAACACATTTTTTTTTACACCTCTTTGGGACCTTGGTGGCTTTGTGCTCATAGCCCAGTGTGAACGTCTGACGGGGTTGGGGCCTGTCTCACATTCCCGAGAGGGTCCCTCCAACTAGATGTTAACCTCCCTGAGACCAGGAATCACTAGTGTGGGGATGCATGTCCTCTCTTAGCCTTTGTGGATGGGGACAAGGGTTTGAACGCTATCGTCTGAACCATCCTGGCAGAATGAAACATTACTTTGGGCATGAACAATTATTGATCCAGCCAAGGCCTTGGTTAATGAGTCATTTGGCTTATGATGTTCCTGAGTCACAGGATGTCCTAAGGACCTCCCTGACTCATCTGTATGGTCTGTGGTGTCGAAGAGGCCTCACGCAGTGACCATGCATCACTGAAGGAGCCAAGGAGTGGGGTAGCCTTTCTTCTACGATCTTTTCTGCCCCTGGCTGGCTGGCTGTGGAGAGGAGAGGCAGAAGGGGCACTGGAAAGGGGGTGGCCAAGGAGCAGCAGAAGGGGGCACATAGGGAAGCCCAGGGAGGGCTGAGTGTGGAGCCAGGGTATGGCCTGGGGCATGTATCACTGAGAGCAGGCTGTAACCAATTTTTAGGGCATTTAGGATTTACATTTATTCACACCTATCATTGCTGTATTTAGGATTGAATTTGATGCTTTTTAGGTACTCCTATCAGGTGCTCTGGCATGAGGTTGGCAGACTTTGAAAGACCCTTTCAAAGGGGTCTTTAGTGGAAAGCAACACTAAATGTATTTACTCAGGAGTAAGAACAGTCATTGGAGAGTCCGTTGGGCTCTGGACAGTGCTAGATGATCCCAAAAGTCAGAAGTGAGTGTTAGTGGAGGAGATGTGAGGACCAGCAGCAATCAGACAAAGCATTCTGGATACAGATTCGTACTAGGGGCTGTATGACAGGGTCCGTGGGTCACAGCGGGGAGAGTGTGCTGAGGGAAGGCCTAAAGGAGGCTTTGCCTACTCACTCAGTGCTGACGGGGCTCTTTCCGGCCTGGGGTGGGTCCACACACACCCCGTCTCATTATACTTCACTTTACTGCACTTTGCAGATACTGGGTGGGTTTTTTGTTGTTTTTTTTTTTCTTACGAATCGAAGGTTTGTGGCAACCTATTTTTCCAACAGCATTTGTTCACTTCATGTCTCTGTCACAGTTTGGTCATTCTCAGAGTATTTGGAACTTTTTTGTTATTGTTATATTTGTGAATGGTGATCTGTGATTACAACTTGCTGAAAGCTCAGAAAATGGTTAGCATTTTTTTAGAATAAAGTATTTTTTTAATTAAGGTATGTACATTATTTTTTTAGACACAGTGCTATTGCACACTTAATGGACTACAGGATAGTATAAGCATAACTTTTGTGTACATTGGGAAACCAGAACATTTTTCCGACTCACTTTATTGCAATATCCACTTGTTGCGGTATAGAACCGAACCTATGGTTATCTCCAAGGTAGGCCTGTTGTATACACAGGAGGTGAATTTCCTGCCAGAGCAAAAGAAGTGCTCTGTGCCAAGGTTCGTCTCACAACTGAGGCAAGTTGGAATGTTCCAGAAGTTTTGAGATCATTCTCTTCTATGCTGTTTTAATCTGTTTAAAATAACTATTAAGGAAGAAGATGCTTTGGAATGAAGATAATTATAATATTAATGACAGATTTTAGCCAGTAACTCTGTTTTCGTTTTCTCTTCAGTGTCAAATCAACAGTGCCTTGACTTCTTTCCATACCGCCTTGGAGCTTGCGATAGATCAGCGAGAAATCCAACATGTCTGTCTGTATGAAATTGGTAAATATGAAATGTCTGTCCAGCTTCTTGTCATGAAATGGTATTAATGCATTCAGCTTATGTCCAGCTGGATGGCCGGCTTCTTGTTGCAAGTCTTAATGCATTTTTGTGCATGTCTGCCTTTTTAATGCTATTCAGTTTGGATCTTTGTAAAATGCTTACTACCTCTTTTGTGAGAATAAGACTTTGTTACCGTAGCACAAGCGGTGATACTTACCTCAGGAATTGTCCTTACTGCTTTAGAATTTATTCTTTATAACATTCTGATTTTAAGATAATAGATCATGTTAAAGGAATGGACTAAAACTTTTGTAACTACTTTATCTGGCTGCACGTTAGAATCTAAACTATGTTTCCCTCCCTTGCACCAGTGTTTACCTGGGAAGAAAAATATGGCCTGGGAGAGAGTTGGGTGTGTGGACCCCAATCCCAGCCCTTCCCCCAACTAGCTTGGAGACCTGGGAAGAGTTGTGTAAGCCTCATGGTTGCCATGAGTGTTGAGGTGCCTGCCCTCAGTGGTCATGAGGTTTAAATGAAGTAGGAATGAGCATCAGGTGGGGTGCCTGGCACACAGAAGGCCCTCCACGTGTGTGAGCCCCTTCCTTCTGCTTTTCCTCTCCTGCAGACAAATTTATAAGCAGACATGGAAATATTTATTTGCTTACAGCTTTCTCCTCCCTGTCCCAAATTGTTACTATGAGTTTCTTTGCTGACTGCCCTAAAATTCTGTCCTGTTATATTAGCAATTCCCTAAACCTTTTATGTAGCCGTTGTTCTCTGATGCTGAGGAAAATCAACACAGCAGTTGGGTTTGAAACAACCATGACACAATGTAACAAGGGGTTCATGTTGTTAGGGTTTCAGCCCAGTATGACAGGGTCACATCAGACAGGGTCACATCATATGGTACCTAGAAAGGGAATGAAGGAGCCAGGGAGCAGAGAAGTGATGAGGTAGTGATGGAATCAATGGGAAAATCGGAACTCCCAGGTTCTCTGCAGAGAGGGGAAGAAGAAATGGGGAGTGCTCAGGGGGCATTTGCCATCTGTCAGGTTGAGACCCTGTGATGCTTGCCACTTGCTTATATGCTGTGGACGTAATTGTTGTCTTGGATAATTTTAAATCTCTTTAAAGAAAAGTGCGAACTAAAAAATTGGCAACTTCCCAGTAAAATAATGTTTTAAGCACCTCTTATGGTTTAGGGAAAAGAGCTGAAGTATAATCCAATGGAAAATATATTATGTCATCCATCCCGCTGGAGCTCTGGGTAGTAGCCATAACAGGATGGAATGTATTTCGAAGAATTTGAATTAACACCTAGATTTGGTGGCCTTTTTTTGTTCTTAAGATCCTGCTGCCTTTTTTTCCCCCACTTTTACTGACATATAATTGACATATAATGCATTAGTTTAAGTTGTATGACATAATGATTTGATACGTACATGTATTGCAAACTGATTAAGATGGCCTTTCTTGGTGCACCGTTTCAAGGTCTGGCAGAATGGAGGGTTAGACCTGAAGGAGGCTTGGAGATTATCGAAGCCTAACCTCCAAGGCTTAGGAAAGTTAACCCAAGAAAAAGTAGCACAATCCTAACTCAGGCTTCTTATTCATATTCAGTGCCACCTTCTCCCCTACTTTGCATTTAACTCCCATCTTCTAGGATGGACATGATTAGGCCCAATTTTTACTGGAAACCATTTCGACTTCATATCCTATCTCGTAGAATTTGACACTGGATTTTCTAGAAGTGTGGATCCCTCTCATCCTTGTACTTCAACGGCGGATCCAAGATGACACAAGATACCAGAATTTATGATGGGGGGGGATATTGTGACAGGAGAGAGCAATGGCCTTCACTCCTTGGCCCTTTTCTCTTCCTAGCTCTGTGGCCTTGGGCAAGTCACCTACGTCTCCATGCCTTAGCATTTCTCCTTGGTAAAATGAGGATACCGTCTGCCACCTCAGGAAGCCCCTAGTAGAATTAGAGTTATACCAGGTGCCTGGCTCAGGGCTTGGCACATGGAGGGGCTCAGGCAAGGGAAGGTACATTTCTGAAACCAAGGATAGAATTCCTCGCATTTTTGTGGCTGCCAGAATGCCTGTCTCATGGTGTTTTGATCCAGGAAAGATAGGGTTCTTTCTCAGCTCTGCTGCCAACCTGAAGAGGGAAGTTGGGCAAGTACTTAATTTCTAACTGGCTTGTCTCCACTCCTCACAAGGGTTTGAGAATTAATAGTAATCAGTAAGGAGCCATGTGAGTGCTTGAAGACTTTTTGAGGTAGTCACTATATGCAGTCTAATGATACTGCTTCTTTTTCTGTGCCTGGGGCCGCTCTTGGAGAAGTACTGCTGGGCTTAGATTAATCTCACAACCCAAACTGGAGTGTAGGATACGAATTAGAGTGTTTTCATAGAAATCTTTATGTCCCTCTATATTTAAAAAAATTTTTGTTTTAATTTAAAAAAAAAATTTTTTTTTAATTTTAAAAAAAATTTTTAAAAAAAATTTTTAAAAAAATTATTTGGGGGGGCAGAGGGAGAGGGAGAGAGCCTTAAGCACAGGCCAAGGCGGGGCTCCATCTCACAACCTGAGCCGAAACCAAGAGTCGGACACTCAACTGACTGCGCCCCCAGGTGCCCCCCGCTATACCGCTTCTCTGCTGCTTAATGGGTTATGAAATCAGAAGTGCCTTGTCTTTTACTCAGAATGTCACACTGAAAATATTTAAGTGACAAAAGATCATCTTTAGGTTTTCAGGTAGTATACATGCAACACTCAAAGATAATCAGCAGTTACCAGATTGCTGGCTTAAAGATGGGGTATAAATCACTACTTTAGGGTCACCTACTAAAAATATTTCTTTCATAGGTTGGTGCAGCATGATAGAGCTGAACTTCAAGGATGCATTTGATTCCTTTGAGAGGCTAAAAAACGAGTCCAGGTGGTCGCAGTGCTATTATGCCTATCTAACTGCGGGTGAGTAGCCCACTTCTGTGAGTTCTGTCTCCCACACACATTGGCTGGCGGGAGGACGTGGCGTTCTCCTTCCTCACTTTTCCCCAGAATGTTAATATTTTGTACTGCCGAGTGCTACAGTGTTCACTGACTCAGCGGAACACTGCAGGCCTGCAGACCAGCTCCCTCCCTGGGCTGGTTTGGTCACCGGCTCTGTCCTGAAAATGCGTATTGTGACGCTTTCTGCGCGTTCTGCCCTCAGCAGCCTCAGCCTCCCCTTACTTTTATCCTTTGCTTTCTACAGCATGGTTTGTAGTTTTTAAGAATTTATAAACAATCTTGAAGGAATTGAACATGTCTTTTAAATTGTGCTAGTATTCTGTTTGGATTGTTAGTACCCTGGTTACAAAGTTGCATAGATTTTGAGTAGTCTGCTCCAAACCTGTTTTACCTATTAACCTTGTTTACAGTGTGAGTTTGCAGAGCATGAGGTATTTGAACACTGCCCATCATTTAGCAGGAACATCTGTCCTTGCTGAGCTGAATGAGCGGGCATTGCCTTTTTGGTCCTCCCATCAGGAGATAAAGATGTGCTGCCACCTGGTGGACACAAGGGTTGTCTGTGCCCTGCGGGACCTAAAGCACTGTTGCAGGGGTGGGAACCCGAGAAACCCAGTGGCTGTAGGTTTTTTGCCTCTAAGGCTGACCTCTTCTTATCCAGCCATATAACTTTACTTAAAGTTCAAGACTAATCCAAACATAATTTAAAATTTTAAGTATCTCCTTATTTCTCTATTTGGATTTAATGAAATTAACGAATTTCAGTTCATTAATAGAATTAATGAATGGAATTAATGAAACATTTCCTGTCATTCCAGTCCCTTAACTGATCTATTTAAAATAAGAGAATTAACAGTGGCAAGAATGCATGTCCTGGATGTTCAAAAAGTGCAGTTCATTAGGACTGCGTATGAAACCGTTTACACCCACACTCTTTACTGCAGTCCCCGCAGGGCATCTGTTTTTGTATGGCTCTGTCGCGGATGTTCGAATGGGATTATTTTCTGTATACGGGTTAGGATACTGTGTCTCACATCTTAAGAGTTGTTGTGTGGAGCTCACAGCCTCCAGGTGACAGTGGTAGCTATCTGCGGAGTGGCCTCCGTGCGCCCAGCATGCTGAGGAGTCGTGAAGACCTCCGCTTTTCATGAACTGAAAAGCGGAGGTCTTCACGACAACCCAGCCATCGACTGTTAACGTGTTACGGACTCACACAGTCGGTTGTGGGCAGCGGTTTCTTTTTTAATCTTTGTGGAGCATAGAACACAAAGAAATAAATGTACAGTGTGGCTGTGTACGGGAGCATTTATCCTCCAAATACTGGAAATCCCAGGATTATCACAGGCTGTAGGAGCTGGTAAAGCATGAGAGCCTTGTCTCTGCCTTCTCAAGGGGGTCCTGTGTGGATGGCAAGGTGTGTCAGGAGCTCCCGAGAAGGGGACGGATCATTTCTGTCCTGCAAGCTGCCATTGGAGTTGGCCCTGAAGGACAGGTGCTTGTCGACAGGCAGATGTAGAGAGGAAGCTCACTCAGGGACCAGAATCACTGCCACCAGAGGCTTCGTTTCTGGTACCGTTCAGTTGTAGTAAAATATACGTAACGTAAAATCTACCATTTTACCCATGTTTAAGCATTCAGTTGAGTGGCATTACGTACAGGTACCTCGTTAGGCAGCCGTGACCGCCATCCATCTCTTGTTTAAATTCTGTGACTCTGTAAGAATGTTATGAGTGATCTGAGGAGGATCTCAGGCTTAGCTGCAACAGACATTACTCTTTTTCACTGGCTTACTCTGTGACCTTAGGCACGTGTTTAACTATCTTGGAACTTTACACCCTCTAATCTATAGCCTGATAGGGTTGGTCTACAAAACAGTCATTGCATTTCCTTCTGGTTTTGAAATGCTGTGAGAGATGAGGTCTTTTTGGATGGATTCAGACCCCTACCTCTGGACCAGCGCTGCTCCCCTAACTGGGAATGTGGTTGTGTTTCCCTTGAACATTCAGCCTAATCCCTCATGCTTCCAGTACAAAATCTTCTGCCTCTCCCATCACCTTGACGTCGGCAGCCTTCTGTGAGTCTTGGTGCTTTCGCTGCTTTGGCCATGTCAACCGCTGTCTACCCTCTGGCATGGGATGCTTGGCCAAGCCCCAAACTATGAGTAGAGGACCAGCTAGTTTTAGGAGTGCTCAAATAAAGGAGAAGGAACTAGGTCCTCCCAGCTGGGGATTGAGAAACAACATGTGCCAAAGACCACATCTAAGAAGAAATTGATATAAACGGATTCAGTGCCGTTGGGAGTTGAGAAGAGAATGACAGAGAGTAGTTGGGAAAGTGGCACCTTCAAAGATGAAGCGAAGGATGTGTGATTAAGTCTTTGCCTGGGGATTTGGACGGGATGAAGATTGTGTATAGACTTTCAAAACCTTCTCCTCCTCCAGGGCTCAGCCTGACTCTTAGGTCCTCAGAGTTTTCCTGATCACTCCAAAGAGAAACGATCCCTTCTCTTCCTGAGCTTTTCCCAAAGCACTTGGGTTTCCAGCCCTTGAGACTCTTGTCACCTTATACATTATAGCTATGGGACTACATGTATGTCTTATTTCTCCAGCTGAAATTTACGTCGCTTTAGGGGTCAAGCATGTGTTTCTTCTTGACATTCTTGCTGGTGGCTTGTAGGTGGTAGCTGGCCAATGGACACATGTCAGACTAATTTCATGACTTTCTTTCCAGACACAGGGATACCCTCCTTCCATCAGGAAGATTCATGATCTTCTTGGCTCCTCCCTTTTACTGCACTTGCTGAGCATGTGGGCTCCAGCTAGACTGCACACTGTGACAGTAGCTGGGAATTTTGTCACATCCGAGACTAGTGCCCAACAAGAGGACTAGGACCGTGATTTTCCCTGTATGTCCCCACAAAGCTCTGGGAACCCAGTTAGCTGGACAATAGTTGAATCAGTGGCGTGACAGTCAACGGGGATGATATAGTGTAACAGTCTTTAAAATATGTGCTCCCATTTTTAATTTGGTAACATTTTCCAAGTACTGTCAACCTTGGTATCTTTTGGTGGTATTTTCCCCCTGATACTTAAGGAGTGCAACAATGGTTTCTTACAGTTTGTCAGGGAGCCACTGGTGACGTGGATGGGGCACAGATAGTCTTCAAAGAGGTTCAGAAACTCTTCAAAAGGAAAAACAATCAGATTGAACAGTTCTCGGTGAAAAAGGTATGTTGGAGCCCCTTGATCCGGTGTGGTATTTATGATGGGCATTTGTAACCAGCGCCACCTCAGACCAGTTTGAGGAAATCCTAATCGAAGCCGGTGACTGACTGCCATGCAGAATGCGCTTCGCCACGGGGGAGAAAATATACTCCCGTGGTCCCACTTCTCCTCTGAGTGGGAAGTGCTTGTGTTGCTGCACATAAAGCAGTGGTTATTTGTTTGAGTGGGTGAACACATTACAGACCATGCAGAGCTAATGAGGCTATCTAGAGAGGGAAAGCATCTGTCTAAAGAGTTAGGTGATTTCAGAAGAATAGAAATGGGCAGAATCTTGGCAAGAGATCTAGACTGTTGCTTCTCAATCTAGTGACCACATCACATTTTGACCTAATAAACAAGAGGAGTATGCATCAGATTTACCAGTAGAAAGGGCCCAGGACTGTAGGGACAAAGTCCCTGATTTATTCTACACTTCTAAGAATAAAAGCTGAATTACTGTGGATTATATGACAACTTGTCATATCCTGAATTTTCCATGATTTTAGTTTGTTTTTAATGAATGAACATTTAAGGAGTTAGTTTGAATATAAACTAGATTGTAATGTGGAATGCCACTGAGACCACTAGGACTAAAGAGAAAATTAAAAAGTCAGTAAAACCATAACTAAGAGGCATCTAGTATTACATTTTCCATGTAAACCCATTCATTATTACTTGTCACTCAGCTTTTATAAATTCCTTTGATTTAAACTGGAATTAATCTAGTTTGCTGCCCACGTTCTCTGAATGCACCCTGGATCCTGATGGCAGATTGAGTTGAAGAGTGAGTGAAAGGCACATCTACTGATACATTCACAGTTAGAAGACAGACATTTTTTAGAGAGTTCTCATTTGTAGCTTTGCTGGAAGGGGTTGTTCGTGTCAAACACGAACCGTGCGTTTTTGACTATCTCCAAAGTATATATTTTTATTTGAATTTGTTGGTACAAACTTAGCTGATCATTCTAACCACCTGCAGGCAGAGAGGTTTCGGAAACAAGCTCCAACCAAAGCACTGTGTGTGCTGGCCTCCATCGAGGTGTTGTACCTGTGGAAAGCCCTTCCCAACTGTTCCTTCCCCAACCTGCAGAGGATGAGTCAAGGTAAAAACAAAACCATACACCTGGTTTCTTCAGTTTCTCATTAGTGTTATCTGATCCAGAGAATGCAGATCTGTTGTTCTTGGAGAGATGGTGTAGTGACAAAGAACAGTCCATTGCTCAGGTGATAGGCGTAGGCAGCACAGGAATGTACGGACGTGTTTGCATTGTTAGCTGCGTGTCGTGAGGCACGCGGACTCTGAGCGTCGTTGATTCTATAGCCCTGGGGGTGGCTGAAAGCATACATTTTTCCCCCCCAACAAAAGCCCTTTGTTTCATATAGGTTTGATTCACATGTATTAAAATGCACAGATATTAAGTGTGTGGTTCATTGAGTTTTGGCAAATTATATACATGCTGGCATCCACCACCACAGTGAAGATCCGGAACATTTCCACCACCCTTGTAATTTCATTTCCCTCGTGCACCTTCTTGGTCAGCCCCCACCCCCCGAAGGCAACCACTGTTCTGATTTCTCTCTCCACAGATTAATTTTGCGTGTCCTTGAACTTCATATAAGTTCAGACAGCGTGTACTTTTTATTGCTTGGCTTCCTTTGTCCGGCATAGGCTCTGTGGGAGGGATCTGTGTTGTAGCCTGTCTCCGCGGTCCGTGGTGCCTTTTACTCGCTGAGTGGCACTCCATCGTGTGGCTACATCTGTACCACAGTGTGTTTATTCTTTCTCCTATTAATGGATATTTGATTTTTTTTCTGGTTTTTGATCTATCCTGAGTAAAGCTGCTACACACCTAAGTATACAAGATAAGCGTACTTGTCTTTTCTGCAGACATTCCATGCTCCTTTCTCTGGAGTAAATACCTAGGAATATAACTAGAAGCCTAGATTTTTTGACTCATGTATTAAGAAAAAAAGAAAGAAAAAACATAGGACTGGGGTGCCTGGGTGGCTCGAGTTGGTTAAGCATCTGCCTTCAGCTCAGGTCATGATCTCTAGGTCCTGGGACTGAGCCTCACGTCAGGTTCCCTGCTCACTGGGGAGTCTGTTTGTTCCTCTCCCTCTGTCCCTTGACCCACTCATGCTATTTCTCTCTCTCTCAAATAAATAAAATCTCAAAAAAAAAAAAGAAAACCATAGGACCATAGGTTATGCTAATGTAGTCTTCATAAAGTCATTTTTATTATAGCTGTAGGAAAAGTTCACAGGAAGAGTAAACTAATCTTCAAGTGAAAAGCTTTATTGGTTATTAAAGAAATATTAGAGCATTTTTTGAAGGCTTAGTGGCAGACATTTGATGCTCTCTAACCTGGCAAATTGTTTAGTTTGCTCTATACTGCTTTCTACATACATAGGAAAGGCAGACAATATTGTCATAGTCATTTTATAAATGAGACTAAAGCTCAGAAGAGTTAGGTGACGTGCCCAGCTCCCATCGAAACAGGTGTTCCCGCTCCTGGTCTGAGGAGAGCACATTGAGTAGCAGAGCTTTATGCTCTCCTACAGCTTCATCTTCTAGGAGCATGACGAGATTTAGGTCATGTAGCTAGAAGTACGATTGCACCATGAGACCGTTATGTCCAAAATAAAAACACATACATCCAGAAAGATGGTTTTATAGAAAAGAAATGTATTCTTATTCACATACATGCTGCCCTTTTTCAAAAGAGGTTTAATATTGATATTTGGACTTACTCAAAACTAGTCTGTTAGTCACTGAAGGAAATTTGTCAGATTTCTCTACAATCACACTTTTTGATCAAATATAGAATTATCCATTGTATCACATACTTTTATGATCAGACTTCCTTGCAGGCACCTTTTGCTTATTTCAAAAAAAAAAAAAAGTCCCCCCTCAAAGGTAAAAAACTTTTGTCAGTGTTGATATTCTAGAGATCAAAGCAATACAACTCCAAAAGAAGTTGTGTGCAGAGGCCCTGTAATTAGAGTGTGTAACCCTCCTAAGGGGGATTGCTTGAAAGAAAACAAAATTTTCTTGGATGCACAAGTTCTGCTATGTCCATTTCAAAAGGATATGCATAATTTTAAACCCATCCCTAGTTGTTGATGCAAGTCTAGAATATCTACCAATGTCTAATTCAAAGTAACAATACAGAATTTTAAGTATTCTTTGTAATGCGCAAATGCAAGGTCCTGTAGAGATAATTCAGACACAAATGCAAATATAAAATAGGCTATAATCGGCAGGCACAAGAACGATTATCACTTAATGTGACTAAATAGTCTCAGAACCCCTTTCCAGGTATCAAAATAAATAGCAAAGATGTGGTCATGGGGAAAGGGAGGCTCTTGAGTAAATATGGTATAATTCTTTAATATCTTTGTTAAATATTAGTGCATTTTTGAGATCAATTAATTAGTTTCTGTCATTCCCCAGTGTTAAGCAGTAACGATCCCAGTCTGCTCTGCTGTGTAGAGTACAGAGATCTTTATAGAGAAATAGTGTAGTTCCAGGAAAAAATTGGTAGTGGGTGATTAATTAAATGCCCACCCAGCTTTGTGCATTCACCTTCTCCGAGTCCTCATCTGCAGCTCCCTTCCTCAACACGTGTGGTTGGATTTTTACATCCTTGTGGTTTCACTCATAGCCCTTCCCCCGACCCACCCTCCCCTATGCACTACATTCTTCCTCTGCATTGTAAGGATGTTTCTGTATATCCTCAGCACCGCACCCAGAGTGATCCTATTAAAGTCACATGGCATTTTGCGGCTCAGAACCCTCTGTGGTTTCATCTTATTTAAAGTAAATGTCCAAGTCTATTCAGTGGCCTGCAGTGTTCTGTGATCTGTCCACCGGCCACCCCACTTTCCCCATCCCACCGCCTCTCACTGCCCTCCCCCCTCGCTCACCAGGCTCTAGCCACACTCCTTACTGTTCTTGAACACACTAGGCACATGCTGACCACAGTGCCTTTGCACTTTCTCTTCTTTCCACCTGCAGTTGTTCTTCTCAATATCCACATGGCTCCTTGACTCATTTCCTTCAGGTCTTTACTCATTATCACCTTTACATTGAGGCTTAAATTGTACCTTTCTGACATGCACGCATACTTCCATCCCCCTTCCTGACTTTATTTTTTTACCTTAGCACCAACACTTTTTTAACATACGTATTTTACCAGTTTGTCCTTTGTATCATCTAGCTTTTCCACAAAATGTTAGTTTTTTAAGGGCAGAAATTTTTTCTATTTTGTCACTGCTGTATTCCAAGCACCTAGAACTGTCAAGCACATAGTAGATTTTCAGTAAATATTGAATGAATGAGCGCATGAACTGTGTTCCGCTTTCCTTGATACTCTTGCTGTACAATCTTTTTTTAAAGATTTATTTATTTTAGAGGGGGTTGGGGCAGAGGGAGAAGAGAATCTTAAGTGGATTCTGTGCTGAGCGCAGAGCCTGACACGGGGCTCCATCCCACGAGCCTGAGATCGTGACCTGAGCTGAAACCAAGAGTCAGATGCTTAACCAAGTGCACCGTCCAGGTGCCCCCTGAGGTCTTTTTATAAGGAGGTATTCCCAGCCTAGCTTTTTGAGACAACTCCTGCTTCTATAGGTTCAGACTCTGTTGTTCACAGTTACCTCGTTGCTACAGTGCCAAACTCTTTCAGTTACTTGTTCTGGAACTTTGAACATTTTATGTGTATATAAATATATATGCATATATACACACACATACAAATGGTTGTGCATATATATGTGTCTATAAAATCTTACCAAATCTCAGTATCTTTGTTGGTCCACAGAAACAATTACTTCCTTTCCTCTCCTATTAGCTCCACTGTGTTTCCAATTTCCACCTTTCTCATGACCTTGGAAAACTTTGGTAACATCCTCCTATATGTGTACACATCCTACACAGGAGGGGGTGAGCTTCTTGAAGTGGAGGGATTACGTCTGATCCCCCCTCGGTGACCAGTGCAGTGCATCAGTACAAACATTTGGAGGTGCCCACTGTATGGCTTATGACATTAATATGGAGTTTTTAAAAGAATTTTTTAGAGTAGTTTTAGGTTCAGAGCAAAACTGAGCAGAAAATACAGAGTTTTCACCTGCCATGCCCCTCACTACCCTGTCCACACAGCCTCCCCCGTCAGCATCCCCCACCTGATAGATACATCGGTTACAGCCAGTGAGCAACACTGACACATCATTAGGTTTAGTTTTCTATTAGGGATCACTCTTTGTTTTGTACATTCTATGTGATTTGACACGTGTAATGACATGTATCCACTCTTATAGGTAGCATCATACCAAATAGTTTCACTTAAAAATCTTCTGTCCTCCATCTGTTCCTCACCCCTCCAGACATCTGATGACCACTGATCTTTTGTAGTGCTTACATAGTTTTGCCTTTTCCAGAATGTCATATAGTTGGAATCAGACAGTATGCAGCCTTTTTAGATTGGTTTCTTGTTCTTAGTAACGATAGGATGCAATCTCGAGTCTTTTTGTTGCTATGATGTTTGATATCTTTGCCTTTCTTTGAATAAGGATATTCACTACCGGTTGAGGAAAAGGAACCTTCTGAGTATCAGGGGGCAGGATCATGAACTGTGAATAAGTCACTAAATAATGAAATACTTAACTCTTGATGATATTTAAGAAATTAAGGGAATGTATATTCTTCCTGCTGTTTTCACTTCTCTTTAAGCTTGCCACGCAGTGGATGATTCATCTGTCGTTGGATTAAAGTATTTGCTTCTTGGTGCCATACACAAATGTCTAGGAAACTCAGAAGATGCTGTTCAGGTAAACTGTTTAATGCTGCTGTTGTGGCTAAGGAAAACAAACTGAAAACCTATATGTGTGCTTAGAAATAAGAAAAATGAGAAATGCATTCAACAAAACTGAACCTCCCACGACAGTGTAAGTTTTATCCACCATACTGATTCAGGTCATCTCAGATGCCAGAAGTTGATGATGGTTAATACTAGTTTTTAATGTAACTTCAGATTCTTAGAACATTTCTTTACATACAGGCTTCTTTTCTGACACTAGCTACTTATCAAAGATGACAGTCTCAGAGAAGGAAATGAGGATGCAGATAGTTTTAAAGGAACAGAATGAAGCTTCATCATTAAGAGAAATACAAAAATGATCAGGTGTGTCCGTGTGTTCACCTTTCTTGTCTCTGCAGCGGCAGATTACTGATGCAGCACTGGAGGTGAGGTCTAGAAAGGTGTTAGCTTAGGCTCTTCGGGGTACATCTTATATGGAAAAGAACCTTTCATTATTTTCAAATATAGTTGGGATTTTTCTGAGGTGTTTGTATGGTTGGATGTTTTGAAGTATACCTTAGTGTTATTTTGATTACTCTTTGAAAGAGTTTATGTACAGTAGTAGAGGCCTTTGACTTTTAAATCCTAGGGTGTTGAGGTACTTGTATTACAATTTCAAATTTCTCAGTGTGGAGTCATAATAGTTATTATACAGCTCTAAATAGCCTGTTTTAGATCATATGCTTAGATATCAGCAAGACGCATGTCAAGGGATGGCTTGTGGGCTTTCTGTTTTAAATACTAAAATGATATGTTCAGACTTGGAGATGCAGATAAAGATGTTTTTGGCAATACAATCAGTAGAAGCTAGTGTGTCAACTGGAAAAATAAGTAGCACCAGTTGTGCTGACTGAGGGGAGCATAACCTGGAGGGAAGCGTGTGGGGAACTTCTGAGATATGGGTGAGGATGGACAGGAAGAAATAAAGATTCAAAGGGGAAAAAAAGAAAATCTGATCTAGAATACAGAAATAAATCCCCCCTTTCTGCCCCTTGAAGATGTTAGGCACCTTACGTAGGGAAATGACTTAATTCTGATAACATTTGTATTACTTTCAGTTCTTCCAGCGAGCTGTTAAAGATGAGTTGTGTCGTCAGAATAACTTATACGTTCAGCCATATGCCTGCTATGAACTTGGCTGCCTTCTATTAGACAAACCAGAGGTAAGATCTTATATAGTTCCTTAAATGATGTTCCTCGGCAAAAAAAAGTGCAAGTGAGCAGGCACAAAGCATCTGTCCTTCACTTCAAGTCAATTGATTGAACATAGTGGGGTTTGTTTGTTTGTTTGTTTTGCTTTCCTTGATTTCATGTAGGATGAGTCCAGGAAGCTGCTAATCCTATCTTACTGTGTTGAAGGAAGTAATTTCTTCTCTGGAATTACAAGTATTTAAGTGTAACTTTTTGGACCAAAACTCATTTGAGTGGGAGATCACTGCCTTTTTAAGGATGGTATGACATGGTGTAGTGTGGCTTACTCAGAATTGCATTATGGTTCCATTTCTCTGTTTAACTCAGTATAGGATACTGGTTAACCGCATACCTTCCTCCTAATATAAAACAGGATAAAAAAAATACCCGCCGTGCCAAGTTAGTAGAGATTATGATGAGAATAAATGAGGATGATGTGATGATTGCTTCAAAAATTTTAGAATAGCTTATAAATTTGATGGTTACTATTGTGTATTTAAGTACACTGGGACAGTGTTGTTTAAAAAAAATACTGGATTTGCTTGATACTTTCTTTCAGAAGCTCAGTTATAAAATATTGGCTTTATAAAAGTCTAATTTTTAGTAAGTTCACTTCCACTTTCAAATATGTGGACTTTCTAGAAGTTGAGCTAAATCAACATAAATAGGATTCTAGCCTAACCCTTAAACAGGTAGCCTATCTCACCAAAGATAGGCTTTTAATTGGTAAGTCTTTTCATTTGAAATTCTAATTTTACCAAAATAGAAAAGGCAAGTTTTGTGAATTTTGGTAGAAAATCCTAACACTGTATTCTTTAAGAACATTTTTACTCTTAATGCAGCCTTAAAATATATACTTAATATATAACAAGCCTGGTCTGTTTCTTGAAAGATGAAGTTGATGCCCTCAACCAGTAATGCCTTCAAAAGGAGATCTAACTTACTGACGTCAAGTAAACTTCTTAATTGTCATCAATTTTAGGTTGTTCAGTAAGATCTTAAGCTATAGTAACTCTTCTAAGTTGTTCTCTCTTACAGAATTGTGAGGATTGTGCACAATTATTTAGCAGTACCTTGATGCAAACTTGTAAGCATCCTTAAAGAAAAATGGAGTCATTAAACTTGAATGAGCAGCTGACTCAACTCTGTGTCTACTGAGAATTGTTTTCATTTACCTATCCTCTTGTAATAAGCATTTTCTGCTTGAGTATGTATAAATGTAGATATTAAGAGATAATATGTTTTTCTTACATTCATAGACTGTAGCAAGAGGCAGAACTCTACTTCTTCAAGCAAAGGTAAAAATACTGTACCTACCACCTCTTTCCAGGGTGCTTGTTACCTAACTCTGTTGTGTCCTCTTGAGTCTGAATTCAAGAAGTTTTGTGAGATGATTGTTCTGATGGATATTTCTGGAAGGGAAAAGTAATAACTGATTCAGTGATCACTTGATTTTTTTTCTTTTAAGATTTATTTATTCTGGAGAGAGAGAGTGCATCAGAGAGAGTGGGAGGGAGGGGCAGAGGGAGAAAAGGGGGAGAGAATTTTGAGCAGACTCCCTGCTGAGTGTGGAGCTCGACGCAGGGCTTGATCTCACAGCCCTGAGATCACACCTGAGCCAAAACTAAGAGTCATTCGCCCAACCGACTGAGCCACCCAGGTGCCCCATGATGGCTTGATTTTTATTTTTTTATTTTTATTTTTTTAAAGATTTTATTTATTTATTCATGAGAGACAGAGAGAGAGAGAAGCAGAGGGAGAAGCAGGCTCCCAAGGAGCAGGGAGCCCGATGCGGGACTCGATCCCAGGACCCCGGGATCACGACCTGAGCTGAAGGCAGACGTTTAACCATCTGAGCCACCCAGGCGCCCGATTGCTTGATTTTTAAAGTGAAATTTACCAATATCCTAAGAAACTCATGAAATTGCCTATCCCACTTTATAAACACACTTCTTGTTTGGGAAAACAATCTTCGATTCATAACTATAATCTTGAGTGAAGAATTTTTTTTTTTTTTAAAGGTTTTATTTATTTGAGAGAGAGAATGAGAGATAGAGAGCACGAGAGGGAAGAGGGTCAGAGGGAGAAGCAGACTCCCTGCCGAGCAGGGAGCCCGATGCGGGACTCGATCCCGGGACTCCAGGATCATGACCTGAGCTGAAGGCAGTCGCCCAACCAACTGAGCCACCCAGGCGCCCTTGAGTGAAGAATTTCTAACAGCAACTTAGATTGAGCACAATTTAAGACTACCGTTTCAGGAATAACATGAAGATAATATTGCCAAAGACGGCAATAATGACATTCCCCTGGACGTTTAACATGAACCCAAAGTTTGAGGTTTAAGGGAATAAGAAAATCGAGTGGATGGGAAGCTGTTGGTAGGAGTGTTAGGGATTTTATTTTGGGAAGCACAAAGCCATGTGGTTTATCCTGCAGTATTTCAGAAAGCTTAGCTGAGAGAGTCCATAACCCTCTTTCTTTGGTCTTGCAGGAGGATTTCTCTGGCTACGACTTTGAAAACAGATTGCATGTCCGCATCCATGCTGCTCTGGCCTCTCTGAGGGAACTGGTTCCTCAGTGACGACACGGGGTTTCTGCTCTGTCCCTCCCCACCAGGTTCTGCACTTTAAAATAAAAGCAGAGGACACAGCTCTTCCGAAGATCGGCTTTTCTTCTGAAAACCACCTGTGCCAGGGACACATTTTCCCACTTAGGCTGACATATTCAAGATCTCCTCTTTTAAACATATAGCTGAGAAGTAATGATGATGATCCTAGTAATTATAACTAACCACCTGGGGAGAGGGCTAAGTGACCTTGCTCAAACATTTTAGTTTTGTGATTTATTATTTTTAAAATAAAATCAAACTAAATATTCAACCTGTGATCTTCTAGGAACGCCTACCTTAAGCACACATCTGACTGGGTAACGCTAGGAGGTACCTGTAAAATTATCAACAGTATTATGACATAGCGTTTATATTGTGTTTTGAAAAAAAAAGTGCTTTCTAGTGTTTTCCTTTATCCTCTAACTTGTGAATAGCATAGCACAGCACAGATATTCTTATCCCCATTGTCTAGACAATGAAACTCAGGCACAAAAAGGCTAATTGACTTGTCCCAATTGATTATTCCTGTTAGCAGTGGAGCAATGACTAGAACGCAGATCTCCTGATCCCAGATAGAATATTCTTGTTAAAAAAGTGTTAATAACCCAGAATTTTGTCTTCCTTATTAAAACACAAATGCTCTTCAGCTGAAGTTGTGTCATCAAAAAATGCTTATCTTCAGATTGTCTACAAAATGTTTTACAGTAATGCACACTTTATTTCCTTTGAAAGCCAACCAAGTAGGAGCAAATAGATAGTTTTACAACCAAAAATAGAACTATTTTCCTAGTTTATTAGAAAGCCTAGTCTATAGGCTAGATAAATAATACCTACATCTTAGGAGCTTCCTTTTCTTTGTGATAAATTGTCTAATTACCAGCTTTTGGAAGTCTTTTAACAAATTACTTGAAAAGGTTATTCTTGAATGAACATAGGGTTTTTTTGCCTCAGAATAGTTGCTCGTGAAGGCTTTGCTGGGCTATCTGTTGCCAGGGTTTAATCGTTTTCTCCTTAGCTCAGGTTATTCTATAAAAGGAGTTCAAAGTTAATTTTTAATCCTTCATTGCTAATTTTTATTGTCATTTAATTTACCTCTGTCCAGTACTGCACACCTGTGGTTTGGAAGAGTCTAAATACCTCAGCCACTTAAGAATTTCTGCCATAATTGTGTGACTAACTTGGCTCAGGCTTAAGGTTAGACTTTTTAAAATTTATATTGAGTTAAAGAGTATCATCTTGGGGTGTCATGTACATATCCTTTTAGCTGAAGCATGATCTCATGTGATGTTAATACTTTAATATTTCTTTTCCAAATAAAACAGGAGCAGCTAGAATGTTGACAGCTTTAACCTACTTAATCTGGTTTTGAGGGAATGATCATTTCTTTGAAAGAAATAATTATTCCTCACTGACTTTGACTAAACTATATTCATGATTCCTCACTTCCCAAGTGTTTATTCACATTGACTTTCTTTCTGGTGTGAATCCTGCATAGATTTTTGACACTAGCCAGAAAGAAAAGATTGCTATCTTACATTCAGTGAATGAGTAGATCCAGAAGCCAAGTAGATGCTTTCTGAAGAGAAAAATTGGTGTTTAAAAATATTGGATACCTAATTTCATCAAGGCTTGAGGGAAGAACATTATGAATCTGTAAAATATGGCTCTTGCCATTTTGTCCTCTTTGGGTATAGCATATATGAGGCAAAATTCCCAGTTAGGACTGTGGAGCATTCTGAATCACGAAGTTCTTGCTTTAGTTCATACTTACTTGAATTTTCAGTTCAAATATTGTTTGAACTATTATTCAGTATTCAAAGATTACATAAAGCCCTGTACTTTAAAATGAAAAGTTGTTCCTATACTAATTGCTTTAAAAATTTATTTGTATCTCTCCAGAGAGATTTCAGGGTTTCAAATAAGTTTGTGTCCAGTTCACTTACCTGCATAGACAACTATACCATACCACTTTAATAGAGAGTAGGTTTGATTATAAACTGTCTCCTATGTTTGGTGCAAAATAGCCCCTGGTTCATCCTGTGGTTTATGTGTGTTAACAGGGTGGTAGAGTATGGAGATGGGGTAGATGATGATTCTAAAGTCTCTAAAATAACAAAACCATAGTACAGGTATATGGTACCATTAGATTGACTGAAATCTGAGTACATTTTTGAGTGGAGTAATTCATGACATTTTTCTGGCCTGCGTGCCATGACTTATCCAACCTGTGAACTGTGATCTGCCTGGAAACTTAGCTTCGTGTAAATTGCTCTTTACCCCTCGCGGATGAAGAAAATAATCATATAACCAGAACAAGTTGCATCTATGTGTGCTTTGTTGGCATCACGTACTCCTTCCCCATTCCTATTTTGGAGGCTCTCAAATGGATCTTCTAATTTATGAGTGTCAAATGTATTTTTGTATTAGATTTTGCCTATGATGAAAGAAATCTCTAATGTATATTTATGTACTCTGAACATATTTATGATTTGACACACTTTGGAGGCATGGTCTAATGTAATACATGTAACATTGTGGTTAAAATATTTAAGATTTTTTTTATTAGGTTAGGTGTCTTTTTGATTTTAACACATGATAGCTAAGTATTTGACCAAGTGAAGAAGTATTTCAGATGTTACAGAAAAGTAGGAATTTATTGTTGCATATTGAACAAGTCAATTATTTATAGAATTTCCGCTTTTTTACTTCTGCCAACTAAAAGGACAGCGCATAGCTGATTTCTAAAATACACACACACGTGTGTGTTTCTTTGCTGTATAACTTTCCTAGACAATTGCTTCCTTAAGCAAATTGTAGTGGTAAGTATACAGATATGGCTCTGCACCTATGAAGATACACATTCATAGTCATGATGTACTGTTTGGTATAATTTTTTAGAATCCTGTTGGTGGTATATTTTGTAGAAAAAAAAATGGTTAAGCTCAAATCATCCTAAGAAGACACATAGTAGAGGGAGGAGACTTAGAAGCTAGGAAGAGGAAATCCAGAAAGAGAAAAAGACAGGGGGAGGGTGGGGGGAGCAGGAGAATGGAAAGTCCGTCCATAGAAGATGTGCCCCTTCTTCTATAAAGTGTAAATCACTCAGTGCATTGTACTTGGCTTTCTTGTGAAAACTAGCAAGGGGGCTGAGTTGTAGCTCCTAGTTGCCTGGGAGTATTATAACCTGAGTGAGCTCTAGGTTACACTTTCTCCAATCACAGGGCAGTGGTTCACAAATTCTAGTTTTACGAATCAGCCCTCTTTTGAGAATCTGATTCAGGAGGTACTAGATAGGGCTTATTAGGAAGGCATTTTTAACGAGCTCCTAAAAATGATTCTAATTCAGGTGGTCTAAATTAGAGAAACGCTGCCCTAGGTTATCATCTTTTGTTAAGTATTTTGCAAAGCTGAGAGATGAGACCAACAGGAACAGAATTCTATAGCAAGGCTGTGCTCCTAGAGTATATTATCGTGGGGCCACTGAGGAAATGCTTCTAACCGATCGGCTTTCTAAACTAGGATATTCCTGAGCTGAGTTTCATTTATTTTTTTTTAAGATTTTATTTCTTCATTTGAAAGAGAGTGCACAAGCAGGGGGAGAGGCAGAGGGAGAGGAAGAAGCAGACTCCCTGCTGAGCTGGGAGCCCCACGGACTCAATCCCAGGAACTGGAGATCATGACTTGAGCTGAAGGCAGATGCTTAACCATTTGAACCACCTAGGTGCCCTGTGAGCTGAGTTTTAAAGAAGGATGTAGTCAGGTGAAAATGGACTAAATGAGATTTGAATTAGGCAGAGGTCCAACCGAGAACCTTGAAATTCCATAAATTAAGGGTGGGGAGCAGGGAGCAATGGAAAACAAAGTAGATTTGCATTTTGCCTTTAAATCCCTAGTGACTGAAAGGGGAAGGACAAGAAGATTGTAAAACCACATGGAATCATTAGGAGTTCTAGAAATCAAAGCAGCAAATGGTGGTTTGAAAATGTTTGGTTAAATGTTTTCACTGTAACAATTTGCATTTCAGAGGGACTTGGACAAAACAGTTATGGAAGAAATGTGGAAAGAGTAAGGGCTTGACGTGAGTCTCAGATATTCTGCATGGTACCTAACACCCGTGTGTCCAAGATGACCTGTTAAGGTTTGGCTACATAAGCATAAATGTCTCTAATTCCCGGAAGACACCATAAAGGGGGTTTGTACTTGGGGTTTTTAGTAGGTCAGTTTCTATCTTTGATGGTTAAATGTATTATGAACCAAACCATCAGAAATCATGACAGCTTCATTTCACTTCTATCTACCAAAGCAGGGCTGGGGGTAGGGATGAAGGACAAAAAAATGTACCATCTGCAGACCTGTCATCACACTCAAGTGTAAAATTAGCATTTCTCCTTTTAAAATATAATCTTTGTGAGAAGAGGGAGCCTGCCACATAAGGGGCATTCAGTAATTATATGGATGAATTAATATCCATAGAAAGTGTTCTGTGCATCATAGATGTAGACCAGACTGGCCTTAACATTGCCTCTTATTTTTAAGAGCTCTGGAAGCCTTAACTGTTTGAGTTAAAAAAAAAAAAAAAAAAAGTTTTTATCAGAGAGATGCCCCGAAGATGTTATTTGATGGTTGATTTCCAGTGGTTCTTGTTTTTTAAATATATGAAAATGGATGACAATGAAGCCTGTTTGGAATTTGGGCCTCATGATTATGGTGGTGGTTAACGCCCAGTACAAACCTGTGAGCCTGACTGGTGAGAGAGTGGGTATTTGAAAGGAGTCCGCCTTGCCTCACTTTGGCCTGAAATGCAGCCGGCTGCTGCCAGTGTGGTTTGGGGAGGACGGGTTGTGCCCGAGGTTGTGCAAGACCCGAGTTAACGGAAACTGGAAGCTTCAGGATTGGTGCCAAATTCTCTTTCCACAGGGGATTTTTCTCAAAAGGGAAAGTACTGTGTTGCATGAAATTAGTTGTTCTCTTTATACTAGTGTTTGTCATGTATACCGTGACAAATTAATTCTTCGAAAAGGTGACTGAAAAGTAACATGTTGGGCTGAGGGAGTAGTGTGAAGAGGCGCGGCGATGACGGCGAGAACTGCCATAAATCTTATTTCTCTTTCCTTCTACAACAGCTCTTATTTTATATTGAGCGACCAAAAGCGGAGAGGCCGTCGCCTTGACTGACTCCTGGCCGTTTGGGTGAAAACGCCAGTTTCCCTACGCCCTTTCCTATTCTGTCAGAAAACTCGAGGCACGCCCGCCCAGCGGAGTTCCAGCCTTTGTCCCCTTCTGCTCCCCATTGGCTGGGGGCGCCGAGGCTCCGCCTCCTTCCGTCGCGGCGGGGGCCCTCAGCGGGAGGGAGGGGCTTTGTGACGCACGGCCCGGCGTCCGCAGGGGTATAAAGGCCCCGCTGGGCGCGCCGACTTCTACAGGAGCCGCCGGCAAGGGGGCAACGAGGAAGCTCTTTAGAGCATAGCCGGAAAGAAGGTGGGGCGAGTCTGGAGAAAAGGCCCCCCCCAACCCTGCGGCGCCGGAGGCAGTTAGGCCCTCGGGGCGCCTCGCGCGGTGGGCTCAGTGGACGGCTCTTCCAGTGTTGGGGAAGGCGGAGGGCCTCCGGAGTGGGAGGCCGGTGGGGAAGGGCAGGCCCACACCGGCGAGTGTGGCGGAGCTTCCGGATTCCAGGCGAAGGGTCTGCCACCTGCGCCTCCTGAGCTAGTGGACGCGGAACCGGGACGCCCGCTCTCCCCCATTTCGCTGCCCTTGCCACCAAACAAATCCAACGGCAGACCCAAGTACAGATCCCAGCGTAGGTCTTGAGGGAATGAGTGGTTGTGTACTGTTGGACGTTTCCAACAAGCGCCTACTGGTGCGTCCTCAGGCTCCAGCACCGTTGTCCTGCTCAGGCGTTTGCCCTGGGGGAATGGGTAAAAGGGAAGTTAACGGTTCAGCGCGGGGTTTCGGGGGGTCGTAAAACTTGTTTTTGACAATCCTTAAAGGAGAGATGTGGGAAGAATTACGCACTTTTAAGCAATCTTCAACGTAGGTGTGTGAGAGTACCCGTTGATGTAGTCATGCTTGGTGTCCCAGGATTTCTCAACTTGCTCAGGACTGTTCTCTGCATGGGACTGTGTTGTAGGATGCTCGGCATCCCAGGTCCCAGGGCACAGAAAGGCCCCGCACTGGCCCAGTCTGGTGTGGGTGGGGCCGCGGCTACCACCTGCGCTGAAGAACCAATAGGATCACTGCATGGCCATTCTCGCCACCGTTGGTCGCATCAACTGCTAACTGCCTGCGGAAAGGGTGTTTTGGTAGCTCCATCATGGCTATTAGTAAGCCACTTACCCGAACACGACTATCTGCTCTCACTGGAGTGCAAAGTGTGTACTTGAAAAAATGATATACGTATATACACACACACACACAAATATAGTGTAAGTATATATGTGGATCATACATACAATTACTGCCTATGTCCCTTGACGTTTAGCATGTGGGCTTGCCAAAGCTGCTCCAGTAGTTTTTTAAAGATAGTTAAATTTAGTAAAGGTCCCATTGACTTACACTCTAAGAGTAGGTTTTCATTAAAGGATTCAGTACATTTAATTATATTCTCAAAGGTTTTGCTTTGGCCAATAGAGATTCATTTTTTCCCTGACCTTTGGGAAGATGAAATGCACTGTTAAATATTCAGCATTTTGCTATGGCACATTACTTTTTATTAGAGGTTGGCTTTGACAATTACTATGACTAAACTGTGCAACTTATCCCCATGAAACTCATTACTCTCTTTACTGTAGGGGTGTTGTTGACATGATTCGTTATCTCGCACTATTCTCCCCTTTATGAGGACTCATAGGAGAAATTTCTCCTGGGTCTCACTGTTCAGAGTACTTGTGATTCTCCCAGGCAACTGATTTTTTTTTCCTTAAATCTCAGGAAACATGAATCATTTAACCAACTGTTTCCTATTTTGTGATGTCTGTTTGGTAGCTCAGGGGCTGATTTGACACCCATCTCTATCAAAGGGTAGGGCCTATGGCTTGTAGTGGGATACTAACCTTACCTGTAGCTTCATCATATTTTCCTAGCATAATTTTGCCCTTACTACTGAACTCATTTCCTTAAATACTTAATTTTGTTCTTTACATGTATTTATAAACCTCCTCAAAATCATTTTCTACAACGAAACAACACACACACACAGTTTAGAGTGGCAACCTCTGTGACTCTTGAGCATTGCAGGTGAGACTATGCACTACCCTTGGTAGCACTTAAAATCCAGAAAGGCAGGAGGAGCGGGGGAGAGAGGAAGACGGGGGCAGAGGTTAAGGGAGGATATGAGGGGAGAAAGGCATATGGCGGTGGGTGGTATGATACCACAAGTAACATCCCTATTCTGATTAATGTTAAAGCAAAATTAAATTTAAAGCTAAAAATTGTATACTGAAAGCTGATCGATGTGTCCAGGGATAGATTCAGAAATATGAGGAAAAAGACATTTTCTTGTAGAAAAACCCAATTCTACATTTCTATTTGATGAAGGCATAGAAAAGCCAATGCCCAGGTAGTTTGGAAGGATCTTGTTTAGACACAGACACATGAGCTTGATTCATCTTTCTTGAAATTGTACTGTATAAAATATTTACTGAATTTCACAGGAACAAGTTTGGTTGTTTGATTTTGCCTTCTTTGTTTTTAATATCATCCTAGAGTTCTTGGCAGGGCTTTTCCCATGGGTTTCTTTAATAGTACCATATTGCTCATCTGCACATAATAAGCTATTGGTTGTGTGTGTGTGAGTGAGGAATTAGCCCATTTTTGCTAGAATAAATGCCTAGAGATTAAACTCAAGCTAATAATTTCAGTAGGACGTAGGTCTATTCTAAGAAACTATAGTTAACTCATGAACATTTTAATAAAAAAATATAAAACTTTTTTTCTTCATTATAGTTGAGATTACAGACATCCTGCCAAAATGATTTCTTCAAAGCCCAGACTTGTCGTACCTTATGGCCTCAAGACTCTGCTTGAAGGAGTCAGCAGGGCCGTTCTCAAAACCAACCCGCCAAACATCACCCAGTTCGCAGCAGTTTATTTTAAAGAACTTATTGTGTTTAGAGAAGGTTTGTTATTCCTTTATATTATATATTTGTTGCTTTGAAAAGGAAGGCATTTTAAATTGGGCATTTTATGTATCTAATTTCCTGTATTTATTCCTTCAGGGAATACTTCTCTGGATATAAAAGATCTTGTTAAACAATTTCATCAGATTAAAGGTAAGTACAAGTGGTAACAGTTCAATAATACAGTGCATCATTGTTACCATACATTTAAGCTTAAGAAGGATGCCCATAAATATTTTCTGTTTAATCTCACTGATGTTTGTTAAAAATAAGCCATCAGTGTGATTATTTGATCCATTTTTTAAAAAATCTGGAGATAGTTTGGAGGATTTTAAATCTTTAAAAAACAAAAATAGGAAAAACTCATCTCCTGCAAACCATTTGGTACAATGAGACCTCGAACAGTGTGGATAAGCTATGATTCAAACCCTTTGTAATGTCCCCATCTTTAAGGAAGTACACTGAATTTTGAAGAAAATTGGATGTTGTAGTAATGAAGACTCAAATTATAATGAGTTACACTACCTAGTAAAGTTGTATAAACATTCTTCCTGGAAGATTTTTTTTATTAAACAAAGAAACATCCTTTTTTTTTTTTTTCCTCCCTGTGATAGGTTAACTGCAGTCCAGTTGGAGGGCAGAAGATCAATTAGGGGTTACTGACCATCTTGTCTGTTCCAAGAGTCTCTAGATAGTGAAGAGAAGTTTTTCCTAGAAAGTGGTCTTCTCCAGCCCATCTCTGTGGCCTCGGGCCATCCCTCTGCTTAGAAAAGAAGTTGTGTTTTATGTGTATATGTGTAAACCCTATGTGAACATGACAGCATGAAATTGCACTGATGGAAGAGACAGGGAAAAAGAGGCAGAGTTTACATGATGGGAAGATCAAAGTAAAGGGATAAATTGGTCATCCCAGGGACAGGCATCCACATCTAAAAGAATGGTAACAAGAAGCTTTTGGCAGAATTTTGTGGAGAAAACAGAGACTCGTGGTCAGTGAGGGAAATAAGGAAATAATTTTTGCCACATTGGCTGGCCAATATTTTGGCATGACTGTAGAGAAAGAAAAGGTAGGATTAGTGAGGTTGAGCCACGTTTATACTCTGCCAGTTTGGTGATGCCAATACATAGTCAAGCTAGGGAGAAGTCAGGAGTAGAACCTAGGACAATGTAAAAATTGAGGATTTGGATATGCAGTGAAAGACATACCCAAAACAGAAAACAAGACTAAAATGAGCAAGAGTCAGCATTTGAAGGGAGAGTGAAGCGCTGTGGTTCAGGAATATTTTACTCTCTAGTCTGACTGCTTCCCTGCAGGGTCCTGATGGCATTCTCAGCTTACCGCGGGACTTAGGTCTGGGATTTGCTTGCCACCAGCAGGATATACAGACAAGTGCTAGAACACTGACCATTCTCCCCTTCCCTATTAGGTTGGTTTCCCAAGAAGTCAAGGTAATCATGGGCTTGTACTCATGCCCTCTACACCAGGAGCTGTGTTTGAGAGGCCTGGGAGTGAGCAGGCTTCCCATGTTTGAGAATGGTGGTAAAGTTGGTGAATCGTTATGGGGCGGGGAGGTAACTCAGGAACTTACCCACCATTCAACTTAGCAAGTGGACTAAACTAATGTGGATTAGTTTAATTAACAGACTGAACTAGTGGAACAGCTATACTTCCGATGGAGGGAAGAAGAGGGAGATACTTTTCTCCTCTGGTAACTGCGGATACCAAGGCAATTTACATAACGTGCAGATAATCCAAAAAGTGAGCTCCCGTATGGTTGTAGATATGGATTGCTCTTTGGTAGTAGAGTAGGAATGAACGTTGCTTGTTCTAGTTTACTGGGGAGATGGGAAGGTAACATGAAAGTATGACCAGAAAATACAGAGTTCTTTGTTACTGTCTAATACCAGTTTGGCTCATTTATCTGCCTTTTATTGTCATATCAACTGGTTTCTTATTGGCAAACAGTGTCCATTAACTTAGGTCCTATCAGAGAGACTGCACGAGTCCCATCTACATCCAGGAAAGCATCACTCTGGGCTCAAGAGGGACTGTGTAGGGATGTACACCATAAGATTTCCATTTGGTAGGGCTTCTCCTCCCCTGAATGACATCCTCCTATCTTCTAACTGGTTTAATTCCTCAACTGCTATTCCTGTGGGAGTGCCAAGCACATTTGGCTGCATGGTGGTTCGGTTCTCTACAATAAAAATGTGGAAAGAACAGGTGGCATCTTTTGCTTCCTCTAAATACACTTCCCTTATGTGGATCCCTGTGTTAGGTATGGATGGTGGCACCTTTAATACCCTACATGCTCTGTTGGTCCCAGGGATTGTGGCTCACCCAGGCTTTCCGTGATTTGCAATATGGGAACATGGACCATTCTTTGAAGACTATGTCTGCTGACTCTTATTCTGGTCTTTCGGTCTCTTCAGCATGAGGCGAGGTCAACCTAAAGGCAGCATCAGGTATTAGCACTTGGTAATGCGGGGCAAAGGCTCACTCGCATCCCTGGTGCCCTGGTCCCCACTCATCTCCCGGCTATCAGATGTGAGCGTGAAAGACAATTTGTTTTATGTCCACAGTACATCCCTGCACATATCATTTTTTTTATTTGAACACTTCATCCTGGGTTTTTCTTGGAATGAAGCCCATTTTTGGTAGGCTTCTTTATAGGACCAGTAGTGTTTACCCCTCTCCCCAGTGCCTTTAAAAATTCATGTAAACTCAGATGATGGAAGAGGGAGGAGGAAAAGAACCAGACCCGAGTGCAAAATTTTCTTACTTCTGTTCTCTCATCGCTTCCCTCATTTTCCAGAGCCTAGGAATTTTGGGGTGGCCCTGGCTCTGTCCAGGCCTCCCCTGTGGCTTTTGACCCACATTATGCCCATTTCCAAAGCAGCTCATGCTGCGAAACACTTCCTGGTTTAATTCTGCAATTGGATGAACCAGATCTCGCCATCATATGAATCAGAGAAAGTGCCCCCATTTTTCAGTCTTCTCAGGAGAGTTTCTTCATTAATAGCACTGAACCATTAATTGAGGGGATTTTAGAAACTCAGGTGATCTTTTAAGGCAAAAGAGTTGTCTCTTAAGTTCTACCACTTACTATGTCACAGGTAGGAAATGAAGGGAAAGAGGAATGGAATTATCGAGTACAGGCATACGTTGGAGATCGTGGGTTCCAGTCCAGACCACCACAATAAAGCGAATATTCCAAGTAAAGCCAGTTAAATGAACTCTTTTGGCTTCCCAGTGCACATAAAAGTTATGTTTATACCATACTGTAGTCTACTAAATGCGCAATATTCTGTTTAAAAAAAAAGGTGTATGTATCTTAATTTTAAAAAATACTTTATTGCTAAAAAAAATGCTAACTACCATCTGAGCTTCCAGAGAGATGCCTTGATGTTGGTGGCTGCTGACTGATCAGGGTGGTGGTTGCTGGTGGTTGGGGTGTCTGTGGCAATTTCTTAAAATAAGACACCAGTGAAGTTTGCTGCACCGAATGACGCTTCCTTTCAGGAACGATTTCTCTGTAGCATGAATGTTTGACAGCATTTACACACAAAACTTTCAAAATTAGAGTCAATCTCAGCCCTGCTGCTGCTTGATCAACTAAGTTTATAGAATACTGTACATTCTTTGTTGTCATTTCAACAATCTTCACAACATCTCCACCAGGATTGTAGATTCCATCTCAAGAAAGGACTTTCCTTGCTCATCCATAAGAAGCAACTCCTCATCTGTTCAAGTTTGATCATGAGCTTGCAGCAAAGCAGTCCCATCCTCAGGCTCCACTCCCAATTCTAGTTCTCTTGCCGTTTCCACCACATCTGCTGGGACTTCCTCCACTGAAGTCTGGAACCCCTCAAAATCACCCATGACTTTGCAATCAACTTCTTCAAGATGCCTGTTAATGTTGATATTTTGACCTCATCCCGTGAATCACAAATGTTTTTAATGGCATCTTAAGAGTGGTGAATCCTTTCCAGAAGGTTTTCATCTGACTTCACCCAGATCCATCCAAGGAATCATCTTTTACAATGATAACCTTACGAACTGTGTTTCTTAAATAACAAGACTTGAAAGTTGAAATTACTTCTTGATTCATGGACTGCAGTACAATATATTAGCAGGCATGAAACCACATTCAGCTCATTGTACCACTCCATCAGAGCTCTTGGGGTGACCAGGTGTATTGTCAATGAATAGTAATATTTTGAAAGGAATCTTTTTTTCTGAGCAGCAGATCTCAACAGTGGGCTTAAACTACTCAGTAAATTGTAGTGTAAACAGACATGATGTCTTCTAAGCTTTGTTGTTCCATTTCTAGAGCACAGGCAGAGTAGATATAGCATAATTCTTAAGAGCCCTAGGATTATCAGAATGGCAAAGGAGCTTTGGCTTCAACTTAAAGTCACCAGCTGCAGTAGCCCCTAACAAGAGAGGCAGCCTGTCCTTTGAAGCTTTGAAGCCAGGCATTGACTGCTCCTCTCTAGCTATCCAAGTCCTAGATATCATCTTCTAATATAAGAATGTTTCATCTACATTGAAAATCTATTGTTTGGTGTAGTCACCTTCATTAATGATCCCAGAGCTTCTGAATCACTGGCTGCAGCTTCTCCATCAGCACTTGCTGCTTCACCTTGCACTTTGATGTCATGGAGGTGGCTTCTTTCCTTAAACCTCATGAACCACCCTCTCCCAGCTTCAGACTTTTCTCCTGCAGCTTCCTCACCTCTCTCAGCCTTCCCAGAATTGAAAAGAGTCAGGGCCTGGCTCTGGATTAGGCTTTGGCTTAAGGGAATGTTGTGGCTGGTTTGATCTTCTGTCCAGACCATTCAAACTTTCTCCATCTCAGCAATAAGGCTGTTTTGCTTATCATTTGTGTGTTCACTGGGTTAGCACTTTCAATTTCCTTTAAGAACTTTTCCTTTGCATTCATGACTTGTCTAACTGGTTGGCAGAAGAGGCCTAGCTTTCAGCCTCAGTTTTCAAATGCCTTCCTCATTAAGCTTAATCACTTCTAGCTTTTGATTTAATGTGCGAGACACGTGGCTCTTCCTTTCACTTGAACATTTAGAGGCCATTATAGGGTTATCGACTGGCCTAATTTCAATATTGTTGTGTCTCTGGGAATTAGGGAGGCCCTAAGGGAGGGAGACAGATGGGGGAACAGCCAGTCATTCGTGCTTGACATAGGGCTGCCACAAACCTTCAATTTGTAAAAAATACAGTATTTGTGAAGTGAAATAAAGTGAAATGCAGTAAAATGAGATATTTTGTCCTAGGTACTTACAAAATATTTCGTTATTTAAGGCAACTTCATAAGTAGGTGACATCATTACAATTTTACTTAAGAGAAATCTGATGCTTGGGCATGATTAAAAAACTTGTAAGCTTCCAAATATTAATTGGTAGGGTTAGGATCGAAACTTAGATCTTCCTAGCAGCATAACTCATGCTCTTTCCATAGTAAATAACATTCTATGATTCCTCTGGAAAAACTTGAAATTCTTGAACTGAAAGAGTAAAGAAGAATTTTAGCTCCCTTTCCCCATAGTATCTCCTACTCTTTCACTTCTTCCTCTCCGGTCACCTTCTTGTGAAGAACCCGAAGCCAGATTGTGCTAGAATGTGCTAGTTCTCACTTTTTCACCACTCAGTGAGGGTAGGACAGTGGTTTCCCCATGCAGACGAGATCTCAACACCATCCCCTTCCATCCCCCTCAGCTTAACTGAGTCTAGTTTCTAGTATCAGCCCTGTCCCGTTTCCAACAAAGGCAGGAAATAGCTAACTCTTTGGAAAAATCAAGAAGGCCTAGCCCAACTGAGTTAACCTGTTAACTTTTCTTTCTTTTTTTTTTTAAAGATTTTATTTATTTGAGAGAGACAGATAGTGACAGAGCAAGAAAGAGCACAAGCTGGGAGGAGAGGGAGAAGCAGGCTCCTGCTGAGCAGGAAGCCCGATGCGGGACTCAATCCCAGGACCCTGGGACCATGACCTGAGCCGAAGGCAGACGCTTAACAACCGAGCCACCCAGGCGCCCCAAACTGTTAACTTTTCTTACTGATCCTGGACATTCTTGGCTTGGCCATAAATTGTAATTATAATCATGCACTGCTGCTGATCATTGGGCCCAATTTCAATTTCTATGCACCACAGCAGTTATGCATATCATTAAATGTCTTGAGTTATTCATATTAAATATTCATAATGTTTTTAGTTTAATTCTTATGCCAAATTCTATTTTTTTTGCATTATTTTCACAGTTGGTTACACATACTTGTGGCTATTCTCTCTTGTTAAGTAAATGAGAAATGTATCAATTTCAGGACAATCTATACTAAATTGTGTGAAGCTCTGGTGCTAGTCTGCACTTTCCTGGGCATTGTGTCAAGTGAGGCTATACTGATTCCCTCAACAGGGATGGGTATTGTGCCAAAACGATCCTTTTTATTTCTTGAAGTCTCCTATTTGCCTAGGCAGGGTGGTAATTTGTACCAAGGTAAGAATTTCATTAAGTTTAAAAAAGGTTCAAATGATTATCTGGTTGTGATATTGGGAGGGGGACCTGGGTCATTTATGTTTTCCATTGTGGTAAGATTAATCAGTTGGGGAATAGTCCATACTAAAGAAGGCAAATAAATCATGGAACCAGTCAATGGTATAGTCAAGAGGTGGGGTCAGATTGGCAGCCTAGGGCAGAAATACAGGGTTCGGATTAAGGGAGGAAGCCGATGGGGCAGACCAGGTAAGTGAGGACAGTGGGGTCAGGGACACTAGGACACAGGAGTCAGTATGAGCAGGAAGAACATCTTGGACCTGAGACGGTTAAGTGTAGCTCTTTGCTCGCCAGGAACATTGATAGCGCCCTATTGTTCACAAAATCCAAACTCTTCAATGTCACAGGGATATTTTTGAAAAATATTAAACTAGTATATATTAATTTCAGATAGCCTCCCATTTTTCCTGTTAGCTCCGTCCATCTCTACCCATTGAAGCATTCATTTGCTTTAGGGGAAATGCAAATAGGAAGTCATTACTCAGTAGTGAGTTTCCAAAGTTCATAGTAAGAAACGCTTCGGAGTTTCTCAGGAGCCTGTTTTTGTTGAGAGAAGATTCTCTTGGAATTTCCAGAGCTGACTTTTAAGAGCCAAAGCTACCAGAATCAAGTTTTTATTTTATATATGCCATAGGATATAAGCTCATTTCCTGCTGCAAAGGGAAGGGAAATAGGAAGTCCTTCCTGGTGTGGGACTGTGGTGTGGGGAGTGCACACGAAGTGCTAGCTGAGACCGAAAGTGGTTATAAGGAAGGTGGGGAGAATCTCTGATTGGAATGCTCTAAAACCTGACCAAAAGGCTCGTGCTTTGCTTTCCCGGGGACCTCTCAGAGCGGCTGCATGGTTAGCATGGCTCTGCATTTAGCATAACACATGCTATGTTATGTTCAGCACCTGTGCTGTAATTGTCATGATCAGACCGGCAGTAAGTGTTGAATAAAAGAATTAAATGTGAAGAGGTAGATTAGAAATCATGGAGAGTCTTTCTCAGATGGGCCACAGATGAGATTTCTGGTGTCCCAGGGCCCGCACGTGGCTGGTAGTTGGTCCAGATGTGTTCCGACAGTCCCGGAGTGCTGACTAGCCGGGAATCGGGCTGGGACAAAGTGACGTTACTCACCCTGCCGGAGATAGCAGAGATCTATAGCACATACTGTCCAAGCTGGGGACAAAATAAAAATTGGCAGCTAGGCTTCCGATGCTAGAGAGGACCAAATTAAATTAGGAAGGGCATCTCCCAGGAAATAACAGGCCCATTTTCCACAAAGTGGAAAACCTTAAGTGAATACGGCCACATCAGGGACTAACGCCTAGAGCCCAAGCACTAGGAGCGAGGGCTCTCCTCTAGGCCACCCGAGAGCCAGGAAAGAGCAACATGGGTCAGAGCCAGAGCTGACTCTAGCATTCAGCTTCCTTCTTTAGAAGTGGGCGAAACTTTGATAAATAGCCCCCAAAGGTTGAATAATTAACCAAAAGAGACTTTAATCTAGAAGGACTAAATATTTTTAACCTATTATCATCAAGTAAATTTTGCCATTTGGAGACAAGCATTTTAATGCAAATAGAGCAAGTTATGCTTTCTGACAAATCTGTCATAAATTTTGATCCCTTTCCAAGACCAGGCCGTGCAAACAAAGCTTTCTGCGATCTGAATCTCTCCTCCCTTTGCCGCCATCTCTCTCTGCACCAGCCAGACAGCTTGTCATCGCCTGGTTTCTGGCTTCTGCTACTTCCCTCTCCAGGAGTCGCTCCGCACCTTTCAAATCCTACCTATCTGTAAAGTCCAATTCACTATTTGACTTAACAAATTTTTCAATTCCTACCCATTGCCGGATGCTGTGCTAGGGGAAAGTCAGTGCAGGAAGAGATCTTTCACTCTCAGCTATGATGGAGGGGCTGCTATCACACTTAGCTTCTCTCATTGACCATCATAAAAGCTGGAGCAATTCTGTAAAACAAAGTCCAGTGCCTGGATTCTTGGGAGGAGTTCACGGAAAGTGAGCCCCCTCTTCACCCTAGCAGCATTTCTCAACTTCTTGCACAAGGCAAGCGAGGCCCAGCACAGAGTGGAAGCGGGTGTCTGGGAAGAGAAAATGGAGGGTTTGGGGCTACTACTATGGCTGGGATTTGGGCAACAAAGCATCAGAGAGGGCGTGTTTGCAGAGGAGCCCCCCAAAGTCTGCAAAGCCATTTCCTTTGGGTTGCTGGCCAACTCCTGAGCTGCCTGTATGTGCAGGACAGCTTGACGCTTAGCAGGGAAGAGCTGGTGGGAGACTAGAAACTGAGTGGGGATTTCGGAAGCGGGGTGCTGTTGGGGGCGGTGGGTTTGGGCCCAACTGACACGAAGAGGCTTGTGAAGCCCTGGCGATGCAGTGAGACCCCAGGAGGGTCAGAGCCGAGGAATAAAGACAGTGTGCGAGGAGTAAGAACCAACCTCAAACACACCCACTTTCTGCTTTTCCTGCCGATGTCATTGTGATACACAGGAAATGCTTCCCCAAGAGAAAACGCACAGTAGAGCAAGCAGCTGTGAAAGCGGCTGATGAGGGAGGGTGTGGGGCGCAGACAGAGAAGAGGGTTTCACAGCATCTTCCCCACCCTAGGAGCTCCTCTAGGTCATCCGCTGACGGATCCAGAGGTCTCTTCTTGCCCCTCTTGTCTGGGTCAGTTCGACTTTGGCTGCTGCGTTGTCATGCCTCGCCAGCAAGTGCTACCATTTTTAGGTCAGACTATAGGATGTTTCCTAATGTCAAAATATCCTATAGGCCCCGTTTGCCCACTCATTGTTAAATTTTACATACCAGTTGTCTTAAGCTGAGCACTGCCTTTATTAACATGACAGCATTTGTTTCATTAAGAAGCTATTCCATCAGCTGAAGATCAGATCACTTACTGCTCAGATGGAACCCCCCTTCCCAGAACCCTTGGGTTTTGTGTAGAAGTTTCGATCAGGAACTTTTTCCATGGAGGGTTCCAGCTTCCTTCGTTCTAGGCAGAGTTACGGTCTTTCCCCCTGACACGGACCAGCTGAAGGTGGTATCTGACTCCGTTTTGTCACGGTGCTACGTAGTCCCTGATTTCTGAGATGAGCTGAGGTGTCTTCTGAGTGGGTAAGGACAGGGAAGTTTCAGTACCCACTCTAAATCACAGGTGCTGAAATTGGGCAAAACCCTTCTGTGCTACTGTGTGTACTGACATCTGAAAGTTCAACCTATTACTGCTTTAAGATTGAGGCGGGGGGGGGATATCTGCTTATTAACCCATCTGGCTTTTTTAGTAGAGAGGTGGTCAGAAGGAACGACACAAGAGAAGAAAGCAGAATGTATGAAAAAACAGGTAGGAACGTCTACAGTTTCCCAAGAACCTACACGGATGGAGAAATCTACGGACACAGATGAGGACAATATTGCTGGGCCACTGTTTATGAACAAAACCACTCAGTTCCCGTCAGTTCACTCGGAGGTGCTCCAGGAACCTGAGGAGACACCCGAAGCAGCTCGTGGTTCCAGTTCGAAACCGTCTACCCCTAAGGGGATGACCCCACCCTCATCACCACCTCCAGCAGCCGTGTCACCCGAGTTTGCTTATGTCCCAGCGGACCCAGCTCAGTTTGCTGCTCAGATGTTAGGTAAAGTTGCATCTGTTCATTCTGATCAGTCTGACGTGTTAATGGTGGATGTGGCCACGAGTATGCCTGTGTTTTCCGACGAGGTGCTGAGCTCAGAGGCTGCTGAAGATGCCCGGGCGGCCACTCCTGCGTATTCTGCAGAGGGGGCAGCCCTGCAGGTTCTGAGCCAAACGGCTGTCCGTGTAGAGTTGGGTTCTAAACTTAAAGACGATGAGGCTGAACCAGCAGCGGCTTCCTCCTTCCCCTTGCAGGATGAACAAGACCCTCCTGCTTACGATCAAGCTCCCGAGGTCCCTTTGCAGGCTGATATTGAGGTCACCTCATTCGTTCACATATCATCTATCTATAACCAAGAGCCTGTGACTGAAGGAGTTACTTATGTCGAGCAAATACCAGAACACATAGTTATCCCTTTCACTGATCACGTTGCTTCTCTTAAAGCAAACGAGTCACCACTTAGTCCCATTCCTGTAGCACTCGCCACAGGTGTGTCCGAGAAACCTGTAGGCTCGGTAAAACCGCTGGAGGAGGATGCGAATTGTTCCTCGGTCCGTGTGGAGGCAGGAGCAGCCGTTCTGCCCCCTGACACCTCTTTGAAAGGCCAGCCTGCCCAGTTCCCAGATGCAGAGGGCCCCACCAAAGCAGTAGGCTCTGAAAAACTTCTGCACGTTGAAATGGAGTTCACTGCCCTAGTCCCTGGCAACCCTGGGCAGGGGTCCCCGGGAAGCTCTGCAGCCCAGGAGATGGAGGTCAAACTCGTGCTCTCTGGGGAAGCTACCACTGCAGTGCTCTCGGCTGCGCCGGGAAGGGCAGCTGGTGGTACCCCCCCTCCTGTTCCAGAACCCGTACCCGAGCCACGAGGGGAAGGAGCACTTGAACAAGGTTTGATGGAGCCAGGTAAGAAAACCAGATACTTACAAAATTACCAATGACATTTTCAGGTGACCTCTGTATTTCAGGTAACCACGGACGTGGGCTCCCTCCAGGTTGGTCAAAAGGCTCCATTTTCAATAGCTTGTAAGATGGCAAACCTCTGTAAAGGCCTTGTCGTACTTGAGATTTTACTCTTATGAGAGGAGTGATTTTTAAAGTGACATCACCACAGCTTGGCCTCCCAGTTGGGTCACCTAGCACTTTTGGACAGAGCACATGGAGTGAAAAACCTGAAGAGCCTCCTGTCAGGCCCCTAATCTGTTGCGAACGTGGGCCAGGGGGTGTTGCTTTGAAATGGCTCACTTGTGAGTGTAACCTCCAACCACACAACGCCCTCTGGAGAGACATGGTGGTGTGTCGCCCCTGCTTTCGCCCTGCAGTGGGAGAGAGCCCTGCAAGCGGGTGCGGGGAGCCCTGGCTCCCTGCTGGCGGGGGGGGGGGCCGGTAGAGGGGGGGCGCCTGCAGCCCTGGGGGCAGCCCCAGAGCTGGACTGAGGGGACGGCTCGGCCGCACTTCTGTCCCCCGGGTGAGCGCAGGGGCGGCGGCAGCTAAGCCGACTGGCCGCCTCCCGTCAGCAACCCCGACGGGGTGGAAACCCCACCGCCGACTGGGCTGCCAGACGTCGCCCAGGCTTGCCCGTGACACAGACCTGGCTTGATCTCCCCCTCCCTCCAGCTCGGGACTTAGGTCTGCCCCCCTCTCGCCCCCTCCCCTTGAGGGCTAGATGGAGCCGACCTCCCCGCTCCCTTCTGCAGAAACCCTCTCCACGCTGACTCTTCCCAGAGCTGGAACGGGTCAAGTGTTACCAAAGCAGGTGTTCTGGGATCAAATTCTGTCTGGCAGTGTGGCGGGATCTGCATCACTGAAAAGGCCGAGGGCAGCGCTGGGAGCTGGCACGCGGGACGGGCATGCCCCTTGTGGCGGGAGTGGCAGTGGCACCCCAAGTCCCCGCTCCCCAGTGCCTCGCCCTTTTTCTAAAGCACCACGTGGAGATTTCAAACGGAAGACTAGGCTTGTACGTATTTTTTAACTGGCTTGCAGAAGGATCCATTGACCGCATCTGAAGCTATTGAAAACTTACCGGCTTAATCATGTGCATAGTGTTCTGTTCTTTACTGGGGAAGAAGAAAAGCTGCACCAGCGATGCGAGGCCCAGTGTTCAAACGGTGAACTCAGTACAATTTGGGCCCCATGCTACTCCTCTGTCGGGAAGGAGTTTCGCCTCTGTCCCATCTTCTGGGACTTAGTTCTCCGAGACAGTACTGTCTTCATTAGGCAAGTCAGACTTGCCATCACAGATGCCTTGGTGTTAAGTAGACAGATGGCACTCCTAGAAGGTTTTTTCCCCCCCTCAAAGAACCCCTCTGGGACCAACCAGCCTTTTACTGCCACCTAGGACCTATGATTTCAAGCCTTGCCTAAGAGGGTGCTCTCTCGGGTTCTGAGTCCTAGATTATGTGATGTTGTGACCAATTAATGTGAGATTATGGGGCCTGTGAAGGGCCAGAGATAACTGATAATGTGACCAAAAGATGACGCCCCGTGCAGACTTTAGTAAAGAAACAGTCACTATGCAGATGCATTAACACTTTTTCACTGGCTTCACACACACTTCAATTGATTCTTTTGGTAAAGCCCCAAATGTGGATCCTCCACGTCCTGTGTGCGGGCGCTACAGTGGCCACGTCTCAAGCTGGCCGCCCTGGGACCGGTGGCTTCGGATGAGACTGCTACTTCAGGCACAACTCGAGCGCCCCTGCCACCTGCTAGCACGACCCTGTCCCTCACTTTCCAGTGGCAGAGACCCTTGCTTCTTTCACATTACCAAACACAATTGAGCCCTCTCTATAGCATGCTTTATGGCACATGTTACTACCACGGCTGTTTGTTTATATGTAAAGGAAATTTACAAAGACATTTCTGTGCATAGTGCCTGATACAGAGACCAACCTTTAATGCCTGCAAATTTTTTTTTTTTTTATAGCCATAGCAGCAAGCGAAGCAGGACAACCACCACCATACTCTAACATGTGGACCCTTTATTGTCTAACTGATATGAATCAACAAAGTCGCCCATCACCGCCACCTGCACCTGGGCCTTTCCCCCAAGCAACCCTCTATTTATCTAATCCTAAGGATCCACAGTTTCTGCAGCAGCCACCGAAAGTTACTTCTCCAACTTACGTGATGATGGACGATAGCAAGAAGACCAGTGCCCCACCTTTTATTTTAGTAGGCTCGAATGTTCAGGAAGCTCAGGATTGGAAACCTCTTCCTGGACATGCTGTTGTTTCTCAGTCAGATGCCTTGAAGAGATATGCTGCAGTCCAAGTACCCATTGCTGTTCCTGCAGATCAGAAATTCCAGAAACATACCCCAAATCCCCAGAATGGTAGTCCTCCTCCAAGTGGACAAGATGTCCCCAGGCCACAAAGCCCAGTTTTTCTTTCTGTTGCATTCCCAGTAGAAGATGTAGCCAAAAAAGGTTCAGGATCGGGTGACAAACGTACTCCCTTTGGAAGTTACGGTATTGCTGGAGAAATAACCGTGACTACTGCCCATGTTCGCAGAGCAGAAACCTAAAAATGGTAGGTAAATTTTCCTACCATAATATGTGGGCCTTAACACACTAGTACTTTGATTTGTTGACCTGGAGATAGAGATATTTACAGAAATTGAATGGAGATGTGCAGAGTCGGGGTTCCCAAGTTCATTACCCCCAATTAATAAGAAATGCACAGTAGGTGCACTGCACCAGGATGACTCACACTGAGGACTTGGGGCCTAAGACATGAACCCGTCCACTCAATCACCTCTGAATACCTGGTTCTTCAGCTAGCCCCGTGGAAGATGCTAAAAAGGGATGGCTTTACAAGAAAAAAGACATTAGGTAGGAACTTTTAATCTAATTGGTAGGCGAAGGGGTGGGTCGGAGCAGGGGCCAGACGTGAGCACTTCGGCCAACTGGAGAGAGAGGTGAGAAGTCAGAGATGCCGTGGAGCACCCCGTCACTGTAGGAGGTTTGTTCCCTTGGAGAGTGAAGATTTACAGCATGGGCAGGTTGGAAACACCCGAAGGAGCTAAAACAAACAACGGGCATTACCTGGATCAGACCCTTTAATCACAAGTCATCTTTAAGTTCTTCGTCCCACCAGTACCTAACGCCCTGTCCCCTGCTCATCCCACCTCCCCCCTGTGTGTGGCCAGAGCAAGGCCCGGACCTCCCCCTCCATGGGGGAGCGGACTGGAGAGGTCAGGACACCATGCTAAGAATGGTGAGGACAACAACGCTGACACAGACCCTGCTTTGTTAGGGTGGTCAGGCCCGGATGTCAGCTGACCCCTGAGTCCCAAGAAGGAACCAGCCTTGCAGAGAGCGTACAGACCGGGCCTAGGGCTAGAAAGAGCAGGACTCCGACATGGCAAGGAGGCCAAGATGATGCTGGAGGGGAGGAGCTGGGGATGGCCCCTAAGACGACGCTGGAGCTGTGAAGGGGGGGCCATATGATTCAGGGCCCCTAGATCCGTAGGACAGACACTGGGGTTGACAGAAGAATGACAGACCTAGAAGGCGGGAGGAGGTCACGAGAGGAAGCAGGGAGACCAGAAGGTACAATGCAAGGGCCAAACCCACACCCGAGTGAGTTCAGTTACTTCAATGTGTGGGCATTTCACACTGAATACCCGATGGGCAAAAGCTAGATTTCCTTCACAGGCAGGTTCAAGTACTCTAGGGACAGTATTTAGGGAGATAACTCCATTATCAAATCTTAGCTCTATATGCCCTTCTCTGCCTTTGTAGACTTTCAGTGGAATTGTCAGAATGGCTGTTTTCAGCATGAAATGCTGGGATATTTCAGTGCAAATGCACAGACAGCTACATGACTAGATAAGAATTTAGTAACGGGAGGGTAGACCACCCATTTCTGATCTGCCACTCACTTTACGTGTTCGGTTTTGTGATTAAACAATTCACTGTTTACATTTCTAACAGATGCTGGAAACGATGCCGTTTGAGCCAACGTTCAAGGTGGAGTCTGCCACCGAGCGTACTTTGTCAATAAACTTCATGCAAGCATAAAACCCTGTGCTCTTATTTTGTAACTTAGGACAATCGAATACCAAAGGCCTGTAATCTTTTCAGACTGGTGTAGCCTTTCCCAACTCTGTAGGCACCGCAGAAGGAAACATTCCCACTCTACTAGCAGAGCTACTCGGCTTTCTAGGCGGGTCTTCCCACTTGGTGAGTTTCTTTGGCATTCCCGCCAGGTGGCTAGGGGAGCCCTCCCGAGAATACTCACCCAGAGACCACTGGCTCCGGGGTCCTGTGGACGTCAGCACAGGGACTTGTTGGTAAGGACACTCAGTAACTGAGGATCAGATTAAGAGACCACTTTTGGGGCGCCTGGGTGGCTCAGTCAGTCAAGCGTCTGCCTTCAGCTCAAGTCGTGATCCCAGCGTCCTGAGATCGAGCCCCGCATCGGGCTCCCTGCTCAGCGTGGAGCCTGCTTCTCCCTCTGCCTGCCGCTCCCCCTGCTTGTGCGCTCTCTCACGAATAAAATCTTAAAACAAAAACCACACTTCTTGGGAACATTCTAAAGCCTTTATTTAGCATCAGGTAGATTATTTCATTATAACACTTGTTAACTTCAAGACGGCAATTAAAATAATTTACTGGCAGCTACCTAAAGCCCCTTGGAGCAAGATCTCAGTCTGGGGTTGGGTGGATAAATACCGTAAGATTAATGTACCCCAATTAAAGGGGCAAAGCTACTGTACAGGAGGTCTCCATACATATTTTAAGTACACAGGTGCTTTGCAAACCTGAAATGCACAAGACCTCCTTTTATAGTTTGGTACTTATAATACATGAGTGCAACTTAATGTCTGGTGGCATTTGCCACAAAGTTGACACATTTAAAAAGGTTTGTCATTATGTAATGATGGTGATTAGAATCTATTTCTAGGGCATTTTTGTGAATTGCTAGATTTTATACAAATTTTCAATTCAAACACCTTTTAATTCTAAGGACCTTGATTACAGAAAATTGTAAAAATAAATTTAGAGCACTAAAGTGAAATACCTTTTCCAGTTTAATTCTTTAGAGTTTTCAAATCAGGAACACCTGTTCTGAATATTCAGGTACTTTTTCTTTTTCTTTTTGGAGGTGGGAAGGGGTAAACTGGAGAGGATTAGTATGAAGAAAAGCCATCTTTTTAAAGTAGTCTTTACAAAATGACATAACCTTCTCTGCATTTGAGCACATAAACATTGTATAGAAGAGTTCTAAACATTTCAAAGTTACATCTAAAACATTCAAGCATGATGGCATAAAAATATGCAAAGTAACTTGATTTGGGATTACTATATAATTCCATAAAGCTAAAGGTACAGGTGGGTATAAACCTTCAGTAAATATGGCAATAACCACCATAAAAAGCATACTCTCCACACCATTTCTCTTACCACTATAAAACAGTATTTCAAATCAGTAAGTCTATTTGGATAGCAAATTACCCATTTTTCCTGACTTTGATCACCAATATCACCTTATGCCCTACTTTTGTTGGGTGAAATGCAAGTTATCTCATGAGCGTTTTTTCTTAAAAGATGAGTAGAAACCAAGGAAGAAATTTAAAAACATAGGTTTAAGACTTATTTGTAGATTAGCCAAACACCCTGACTTGTCTGCACTTTAATAAATGTCAGGCAGATTGAAGTAGTTTCTGTCCCAGTAGCTGCCCGAGTAAAGCCAGTCCTGTGCTCCATTGTAGGGGTTAGGACCTTGATGGAACCACCTGTTTAAAGAGAAAGGACAAGATTGATGGGGGGAAACTGAAATCACAGGGTTCCTGCCACTTCACTAGCTCCTGTAGCAATTCACCTCACTCGAGTTAGGGATTTCCAAAGAGACTTTTAAAGAAGTCCTGCCATTTTTAGAGAGCACCTATGTAGAATAATATTCCAAAAGATGTAATGATACCACACAAAAGGTTTATGGATTTTTCCATAGCATCTGGCAGGAGAACTCAGCAGAAGTTAACATCTTCTGTCTAGTAGGGGCGTAAGAACCAATCTATTTGTCTGACGTCCTCTAGCCTCATTCCTTATCTTCCACCAGAAGGCTTTTTTTTTTTTTTTTTGGTAAGGAATTAGGGTAAGGAAATGAACTTTCACAACATACCTATAGTAACATGGAGAGTACCGGATTCAGAGTTAATGCCCCCTAAACTCAAAGTGGGAGTGGAATGTCAGAGAAGTTAAATAACTTGCCCAAGCTAGTAAATGGTATCAAGCTTAGGCTTGATTTTAAACACCATGATTTTTAAATCTACTATGCTACACCGAATCCACTGAAATTACTCCTAATCTTCCTGGGTCTCCATTTCCCTCATGCTAATATGGCTTCTTAGGTTGCACCTTGCTGTTAACATCCCGATCGGTCTTTAATCCTGCCAAGAGCTGCTCTAATCATTTCCTTACCCTTTAAAAACACCACCTCGTTCCCACAGTCCCAGCTTCCTTCAGGTAAGGGAAATGCAAAATGACTTGCTCTAAAGGTTCACAATTAATTTGAGTCACATTTTCTAAGTACGATTTTGCTTTCAGAGTAACATTTGTGAAAAAGTTTCACAGGTGTTTTCCATTCTTTCTAAAAAAAAAAAAGTCAGCAGCAGCTTAACTATTCAAATGAGGTTCGATGTGTTTGGTAAGTCCCCAATGCTATTACCCCTACAGCAGCACAGAATGCCCTTAGAGAAAGAAAGGCAGATTCCTTGAAGGATCACATCACAAATGCCCATTGGACCACACTTTCTAGACTATTAATATCTAAATTCTCTATTTAGCTTTTGGGCCTTTTTCCTAATTAGAAAATTTAAGTCCACTTTAAATGATCAAGATACATCCGATCTGGTTAACCAGACTGGAAATATATTAAACCATTATCCGATCAAAGTCAGAAAATTCTGTCCAATAACATGAAGTATATAGTTACACTCCTTTTGGTCCCCAAAGTCCAAGCAGTAAAAGCACTTTTGTTAGTTAGGCTTAGCAAAGTCAAGCGCTTCAGAAAAGCAGACACATCAAAATCAAGGTAATAAAAAATAATTTAAAAAATGAACCAAGCCTCACGCCACGTGCCACGGTGTAAGCAAAGTTCTCTAAAGACCACGTCTAAAAAAATAAAAAATACCATGTCTGCAACCACAGCCTCTCTTCGAGGCTGCGTGCCCTTGGAGAGAGTCCAAACACTGTACCAAAGGGGAGCACCTCAGAGTCAATGGTCTGACGTACAGGACCAGAGTTTCCTTCAACTGCTAGTTCTCCTGATTTTGAGCACTCGTGTCTAGAAACCTCTGCTGCTATAATCCTACCCCTCCCACATATACCAAGAAGTCCAGTTGATTTGTCTTTCTAAACGCACACACTGGAGACAAGCACGGGTAACGGGGAGGAGAGTAAGATTTCCTTGCCACCACCTCTTATTCAATATTTGTGGCTCTCCAGAGTCCGTGGGTCTGTATCAGTAAGACAGCAGTCTATCAAGTCTGAATTCTGTACGCTGCTCAGACTGTCCAGGAGATATCCCGCCAACATTTCTGCCTCAACACATCCCCCGCCGCCGCCGGCCCCGCCCCCACTTCAAACCCTGTCCTCACTCAGTCGTGAGGATTCCTCTGGGGAAGTAGGTCAGGATTACAAGCGGCATTTTCACAGCAGGGACCAGAGTTTCCAGCCTGAAAAGTTCTGGAGCCTATACTCTCTTCCAGTAAAACCTATATTAGCAGGAATACCAGCTTTAAGTGTGGAGGAATTTGGGACAGATTCTAATAAGTTTCTGGGTTTGATTTCTCTGAAGGCTAGTTTAGTGCCAACCAGCAGAAAATGTTCCTTTACAAACCGCCCTGCCTCACCTCAAGCTGAACACATCATCCATCCTGAGAAGAATCCAGTCAGTGAACGTGCACCCTCCTTACAGCCACTAAAAAAGAGCTCAAAGCAGATTCTTTTGACAAAGAGTCAGTGGGATCATTTCAAAACCACGGGTATTCACACAGGCACTACTGATGCTGGGAGTGCCGTGGAGGAAAGGCCTGAGGGGTAGCTCCTGGGCGCAGCGCCTGGTCGGAGCTCCAAGCTACTACCCCGCGGTCTGAAGCTCACTGCTCTCTCAATTATAGGGCTCTGACAGTAAAAATTCTTAGTGGACTCTGTACTTACTTTGTACACCTGAAAATGTGACCAGAAAAATAAGGGAGTTAATAATTAGCAATACAGTACAGAAGTGGGGTTTCTGCAAAAGAGACTAGAAATAATGATAAAATGAATCCAATCTTTTCAAAGGGATTGGAGGGGAGCATGTGGCTTCGCCTGAAGGACTGATGGAGGTGGAGGCTCTAGTCAGAGGTCTAGGGCTCACTGGTTGTGTGTCCTTGAGCAAGTCTCCAAAATGAAATACATCAGCATTTGTTTTCCTCTGAACAATGAAGGGATTTCTAGACCACTTTCAAACGGTATTCCGTGCAGGCCTAGGGAGCCAGGGTCTGTGCAGGGTGGGAGAAGGTGAGGACCGGGTGTGTCCCGTGTCCCGTCCCCCGCCCTCTCTCCAACCACGGCAGCTCTGCCTCCATGAGTTCTGTATTTGCAGACTCTTTATGCATTCACTGGAAAAAGAGATTTTTAACGCTAACCAAGCCCCAGAATCACTGGATTAGATGAAATCTAAGGTCATTTCCTAGCTGTAATTATCTTTTCCCAAAATGCAAAAGGGCTACCAAATAATGTCTGCTGAATGTTTGCAAAAGTATATCCGTATTGCCTCTACAATGGGACAATGGTTCTATTATGTGATATAAATTTAGAAAATGTTTTTATTCTATTCCTGTTTACAAGTGATTCTATTACTCAATAAAAAGTCACTATGCAACTCCTGACTCTTAAAAAAACAAAATTTCCAAAACTAAGAAATTTTATGGCCCACTTTCTATTTCTGAATGGAATCCAAGATGTTACTTTATACAAATCGTATTTCTGTTGCATGTCAAGTCCCTTGTGTTTGGAAGAGTAAAGGCACTGTCTA